AGCTGAATTATGGAGCAAATAGTTGCTTCATCCAGTGTTGCAAAATAGAAAAGTTAAACTTTTTACGGGCATAAAAGAAGGATGTATGATTATTTTTCAGGGAATATCTGAATCATTTATCCCTTATGTGGAATAAATGTCAAAATATAGTAAAAAACTCTTCACTTTTCCATGAAGGGTTGGTATGTATCATTACAAAGTGGTGAAGAAGAAGGATACATTACATGGAGAAAATAGCAAATGGTATAAGGAGTTGTCAGATGAAATATATTCTTTAAGATTGATAACTGCACAACCCAATTCATCTTAGCTGTAGGCAATTATCAATTTGTTAGACATGGAGGGAGGGAGGGAGGGAGGGAGGGAGGGAAAGAAGGAAGGAAGGAAACTGCTAGGGAGATAAGATGCTTTTCAACAGAAAAACAAAATATAAAAGGCTATGAGTGCATTAAATATAGTATTCGTTGACAACAAGTGTTCCAAAAATCCATAAGTTACTTTAAAAAAAATTGGACTTTGTATTCGAAATATATGTGAACAACCTGGGCTTGCTAGGGACTTACAACATCATGTTGAAGATTTACTTCTCTGATATCTCCTACTTATCAGATGGAGCAAACACTGGTTTATAGCAAAGTAAGATAAGAAAAAAACAGCGATGGCCAAGATAAAAACCCAAAACACAAGTATGTGATTTTCCAACTAATCTGACTGATTGATTCTGGCATTTTGGTTTTGTAATACTGTTTCGTCTCTATAGGAGAATGGGCATTGCCATGGAAATTGTCACTTTATATTACAAGAGAAGCAAGTCCAATCTTACTAACCAAAGCAACTTTTCCTGGCCAGTTCTTGGTATAAAAGTACTTGGTAAGAAGCACATCCCCATAATTCATGGGATCTAACAAGCTCCTGTTCTCCAATTACTTGTAACTGCATGATATTTTAATTTAATTGCTGGCTTTTGTAGTTTTTTTCCTAAGCAAAATAGAAGGTTATCACCAGTCCCTAGGAAAACATACTTCTCTAAAAATAGTAATTAAATCCACTGATCAGAGTTTACTCAGCTGCAAAATAGGGATAACACCATTTATCTCATAGGCTGTTCTAAGCTTATTTGAATTCTTTTGTCTAGTTACTAGAATATAGCAGTACTTAGCAGATGTCACAATGAGTATTGTATTGATCATGAATTACTCTTCCCTTGAAAAATTTACGTTAATTTTGATCTCTTCTTATGACAAGGATGATTAATATTTCTCTTCTGGTCACTGGAGACCAAGTTTGGTTTTCATTCTGCAGCTTGTACAAATAGGCATATATAGTAAGACCACAGAAGAGTGATTTTTCCAAGTTAAAAAAATAACGAAAACATTCTCCACAACCATAGATTCAGGGCTTTCACATGGTAAGTACGCTGAGCATCACCATGTAGGGCTGCAGTGCTGTGCACTGCACAACTACAGGAGGCACCATGCACATAGATTTTTCCATGAATGGTGCCTGGGGAGCTGTGCAAAGGAGCAGCCCTGCTGTCAGGGCCAAACAGCTTCTCACTCCAGCCACACAGCACTTCTGATGAACTCTAGGTACACACTCCCAGTTAAAAGGGAGATTTCTAGGTTCTTAAAAAAACATTTTAAAAAGTGTTAGTAATACACTAGCACTTGAGAGCTACTTCTCTCTCTAGGGTGGAGGAGAGGTATGGAGAAGAGTGAAGGCAAAAAAAAAAAAAGATTTAAAAAAGAAAACCAACAACTAATAGAACTATCTGGTATAGGAAAACATTCTCAGGCACTTCTTTATGGGAGAGATCCTGTCAAAACTATCCTCCACCAAGAGAAAAGCATCTTTCATTAACACTCTGCAGAGTGGCTCATTTACAGATGCCCACCACCGAATCAGCATTAAGCCCAACTGCTGAAGGTCTTTTGGGAATACCCTGTTCTACACTGGTATCTCTTACCTGCAAAGTTGTACTCTGGTCTGAGAAGGGAGAGCTGAAGAAGGTAGTAACGATGCTCATGACAATTTCAGTAACATACTTCTCCAAAATGGAGTCTGCATGCTTCCTGTCACTTGTGTTGTTGCAGGCCTGGAAGACAATTAGGCGTTGGAAACATTACACCAAAATATTAAAAAATCTGAAATTCCCTCCTGCTGATTATCCCTAAAAAATGAAAGGTAAAGGCTTGAAGGCCAGTATTCCCCCCCTTAAGATATAATACTAATAATCAATAAATCGTGGAAAAAGAGAAGCAGATCAGCTCAGATATCACAGCACAGAACCACAAAACATTAAAATTGGTATGGGACCATCAAAGGCCATCACTCGCAACTTCCTACCTGTGACTGGAAAAATCTAAAATCCCAAAGGGCAGTAAGAAGCACAGTATCTACAGGTGTCTTAAATTTCCCCTATAAGCAACCCCCCAGGCCATATTTTCCTAACTCATATAATTAAGAGTCATCCATCACTGAGGTCCAGTGTGTCCGCCAGTCTCCAATCCTTAAACACTCTTCCACTCCCTAAAAATTTTACTGACACACAACACTGTTCAAAACAGCAGGTCATGGTTCAGAATAACTAATTGTACAGGCTTTGGGATGAGGAGACACCTGAGATTCCACCTGCATCCCACTAAATCTTGCTGCTTGGAATGAGATGAGCCCTTTATAGAGTTAGATAATACATTTTTAAAAATCAGGCTCTATTAGAAAATTCATTAGTTCTATAATTTGAAATATAAAATTGCTTATACAAAAATGAAGTGCAGAATAACAACAATAACAAAAACTATTATCAGACTTTCATGTTCTGACCTTAATACAGGGCAGTCTGAAAATACATTCAAAGAGCGAAATTGCTAACTGATTTTACATCATTTCTGAACAATGTGAGGCAGAAGTCAGCAAAGTAAGGGCTGGTGATTATCTTTATACATAAAGTATTATTGTAACTCAGACATGCCCATTTGTCATGGCTGCTTTCATGCTAAGGAAGAACTGAGTGGTTGTGACAGACACAAATGGTCCACAAAGCTGAGCTTATTTGCTATCTGGTCCTTTACAGAAAACTTCATAGAGCCCTGGGCTAAAGAAACAAAGCAGGCCTCCAAGCCATAAACATAAACTAATGGGATTAAAAGTCTGAGAGGAATTTGAGATTTTAAAAAATATATGTCTGCTGACACCAGCATCTGAGTAGAAGGAAAATAAATTATTGCAGGCTTCTTACCTCATACTGGTAATTGTATAGTCAAGCAGAAAATACCACATTCTAGGACTCCACAGTGTACCTTTTTTTCTTTCTAACATCACATCATTTCTGAAATTGGGTATATCTTACAATTTATTCTCTGAAGAATCTTTTTATCTACCCCATGCCCCCAATTCCACTACCATAAAACTCATATTAAATCCATGGTGTGCTTTGCTATGTGGTAGTCCTGTGGCTTTAGAATGAATATTAAGCTCAGTGCAAGCCCAAATCAAGTGTCTTGAAGGACATCTGAGTCTGAGTCAGGAAAGCAATAAAGAGAAGGTGTTTTGCCAAATCCTAAACACCAGAATGCAGGAGATAAATGCTCAAGCTCAGAGAGGTGTCCTTCAAGCACACACATATTATCAAGGAAAATAAATCCTAATAAATTTCATTTTAATATGCCCAGGTTATCATTCACAAATCAATGCATAGGGCTGAAATGAAAACCAGAAATAAACTATTTTCTCTGAAGCTTGATAAACAAAATCTATTCTCAGCTAAGAGCAAAAGGTAGCAAGAAATGAGACATAAGAAAGGATAAAAGCCAAAAGTGTCTCTTTGTGCCATGAATTAGAGTAGAAATCATGCAACTGTTTTCCTTATGTCTGCACAGGATGCTACACACGCATGCATAGGCACTCGTTCTCTTTTTTCTCTCTCTTTCTTCTCTCTTTCCTCTCTCTCTCTCTCTCTCTCTCTCTCTCTCTCTCTCTCTGCCTCCTTAGTTCCAGGAACTCTTACCCTGCAGATGTCTACCAGAAAATTCTCAAACAATTTCCACATGTGATTGCTGGTATAAATCTCCTTCATTTCCACTTCAGTATCCACATAGCAGTGATTCAGGAAGTTAATGTATGCAATTTTAACCTGCAAGACAGAAACAAGCTTTTCTGAAAAACCAACTTGGTCTGTGTGGAACTAATTAGCTGCTTCATCTTCACAGTGAGAAGGAGACACCAACATGGTCATTCCATTTCTCACTGCCAACTTTCATTTCTATGATTTTCTGATATTCAAAATTCACCACTGAAAAACCCAAAGCCATAAGCTTTAGGGGAATATTTTCACGACCTCAAAGAGTTAGGCAAAAACCCTACCACAGAAGAAGCAAAGTTTGATTACATTAAAATTAAGAATTTTTGTTCATGGAAAGGCATGGGTTTTTTGTTTTTGTTTTTTTTTTGCATTTGTTCACTTTTTATTTATAGATTTACCACTACATTGATCAGGAAGCATCAATTAAATTACAGACATATAAAAGGGTTTTTTTTGGTTTTGTTATAGTTTTTGCTTATGGAAAGACATTGTTAAAGAGTGAAATAGATCCGGGCTGGGAGAAGTTGTCTGCAGTGCATATACCAATAAAGAAAGCCTATAGATCTGTGCTTATAAGATAGTTACCCCAAGACAAAAAGTAAGAAAAAAAGTAATCAGACACTTTCCTAAAGGAATATCAAATATCTGAAAACACACATGGAAAGGGGCTTAATTTCAACCAGGAATCAAGAATACAGAAATTAAAACCACTATGATTAACGAAAACATGTCTATACAAAAGTTTGTACATAAATGTGCACAGCAGCATTATTCACAATAGTCAAAAAGTGGAAACAACCCAAATGTTCATAAACCAATGGATGGAGACACAAAATGTGGTATTATCTATATACTGGAACGTTACTTGGCAACAAAAAGTAATAAAGTACTGACACGTGCTACAACTTGCATGCACCTTGAAAAAAAATTATTCTAAGTGAAAAATATACAGTCACAAAAGATTACATATTGTATGATTTCAGTAATATGCAATGTGCAAAAGAGGCAAATCCAGATATATAGAAGGATTAGGGGTTGCCTAGGATTAGGCATGTTGGGAGGAGAAGGGGAGTGACTGCTAACGGGCATAGGATTTCCTTTTGGGGTGATGTAAATATTCTATCATTGGACTGTGATGAGGATTTAATAACTGACTATATTAAAAATCACTGAACACTTTAAATGAGTGAGTCATAGCTAATGCAAATATCTCTATAAAGTTTCTAAAAACCAAAACAAAACAAACCGCTATGAGATACAACTATGCGACCATCAAACTGAAAAAAAAAAATAACTTTAAGGAATCTAATAAGATTGAATGTTAGCAGAGTTGAAAGGAAGAATAGCAACTGGAGCAACTATGCTGGAAACAAGTGGGCACTATCAAGTCGGATGGAAGAAACGCCCCACATAACCCACAACTTTCACTTCTGGTACACACACACACCCTGGACAGAAGTGTACGCATGTGATCCAGAATGAATGTGCTGGTCCTAGCAGTCAAAAGCTGGAAACAATTGAAACAAGCATCCACAGAGTAACAGAAAATCATAGCCTGGTATCATGATCGAAAGGAATGCTGTAAAGGAAAGGAAACCAACACAGCTACGCACATCAGGATGGATGTACCTCAACCACAAAAAGCTGAACTTAAAAGACCTACAGTGGTTCGAGACCCGCCCGGGCAACTTGGTGAGAGCTCATCTCTACCATAAATTAAAAAAAAAAAAAAATTAGTCGGGTGTGGTAGCGCGCGCCTGTAGTTCCAGTTACTTGGAAGGCTGAGGCGGGAGGATCGCCGGAGCCCAGCAGGTCGAGGCTGCGGTGGCCGGAAGCGGCCACTGGACTCCAGTCTGGGTGACAGAGTGAGACTCCAATGCAAAAAAAAAAAAAAAAATGCCTACAGTGATACATAAAGGAAGTTCAAAACCTCACAAAAATAAATTATGCTATGTAGGGATTTATACAGAAAAAGTAACCTTGGGATCACATTAAAGTCAGTTCAGAGTTACCTTCAGGAGGGAGTTCTTTGGAGTAAGGTGAGGACAGGAAACAGGCAGGGAGGTTTTTGCTGTATTTCTTGACCTGGGGTGGTTACAAAGCTGTTCTCTTTATAATCATTCTTGTACTATACAATTTAGATTATATACTTTTTTGTATCTCTGTTGTACTTCAAATAAACAAACTAATGTTTGTTATTCATCCCTAAAACTAGTTATAATTCTTTACTTCCCTTATCCACAATAAGAGGAATGTAAAATAAAACTATGTTGAAATTACTGTTTTCATCTACCAGATATATGAGAATCCAGCAGTTTGATGATATACTGTGTGGTCAAAGTTGTGAGAAAAATGCAATCTCATTGCTTTATTTTAATTATTAAGTATTATCTCATTATGTTATAAATTCATTCAACAACCACAGAGGGAAATTATAATGAAATTTTATGCAACTATAAAAAAGGAATCTAGAATCTCTTTATGAACTAATATGGAAAGAATTTATAGTGTTAAGGTATAGAATCGTATACCTAGAAAGTCACCTTTCATATTTAAAAGGGAATGGGGAAAGAAAATTATGTACACATATACAGGGTGCCAAAAAAAGTGTACACATTTTAAGAAAGGAAAAACTGTATTAAAATTGTAATCTCAATATATACCAAAAACTAAAGATGAATACAAGTCACATTTGACTTCTACAATTACAAGAGGTACTCAAAGTGGTTACCATCAGTGACCAGACACTTCTGATTATGGCAAACTAAAAATAATACATAGATAACATTGCTTAAATTGTTTGGAGATATATATATATCCGAAAAAACCCAGAATTTATTTTTTTAAATGTATATTTATTCTTACATGTTTAAACTTCAGTCACCTTCAAAGGACTGTCTGTTTGATGCAATACACCTATGAAGATGCTTTTTCAGTGCTCAAAATAGTTTTCGAACTCGTCCATTTTGATGCCCTTTAGCTTTTCTGCCATTTTTTGTTTCACCTCTTCCACATCGGCAAAACATTTCCCTTTGAGGATTTTTTTCATACAGGGAAACAAAAACAGTCACTTGGGGTGAGATCAGGTGACTAGGGGAGGTGGAGCACGGGGTTCATGCTGTTTTTGATCCAAAACTGTTAAACATTCATTGTGGTGTGAGCAGGTACATTCGTAAATCATCCACCGTAAAACAGAAAAATGCATGGAAAGAATCTCCAAAAAAATTTCACTAAAGCTGAACACTGCCTCTCACAACACTAGCTGGTATACTGATGTCGGTGGTTTCCTAGAAAACTTACCTAGTAGGGGGAGCCTGTATAAAGGGCCTGTCCTCCAAAAAAATAATTTTTTTTTTGTTTCCCCCTCATATATGCTTATATGCAAAACCCTGGAAGGACACGCAAGAACATAATAAACTATTTTCTGCAGGGTTGTGGGGGCAGATTAGGAGACTTCTAATGGTTTATCCTTTTATAGTCTTTGATATTTGAACTTTTCAAAATATACAGTTATGTACTACATAATGACGTTTCAGTTAACAATGGACCACATATATGACAGTGATTCCATAATATATTATAATACTGGACCTTATGTATTGTTAAGTATGTTTAGATGCACAAATACTTACCATTGTATTACAATTGCCTACACTATTTAGGGCAATCACATGCTGTACAGATTTGCAGTCTAGGAGCAACAGGTTATACCATACAGCCTAGGTGTGTAGTAGGCTATCCCATCTAGGTTTGTGTAAGTGCATTTTATGATGTTTGCACCATAATGAAACTGCCTAATGACATGTTTTTCAGAACAAATTTCTACCAGTGACCCATGACTGTTAACTTTTAAAAAAAAATCTAAAAATATAATAGTATATAGATTTGATTTGTACTTATACCATATATATTTAGTTTAAAATGTAAACTAATATTATAGATTTTAATAAATACAAATAAAAATATATATTATATAATCCATTTTTTGGTGACTAAACAATACATCTGAACATGAAAAAAGGAAGCCTGAAGGATTAACTTCAAAACTTAACAGGTATTCACTACGGGCTCTGGAATTACAGATTATTTTTATTACTTGACTGATTGCCTATAGTTCCTAAATTTTTATAACAGTCATTCATTTTTTATGTAATAAGAGTTTTTGTTTTAAAATAATTAATTTATAGGCTAAGTCTTACATTCATATGAACTGTATCTCAACCCACTCTTAATCTCATTTCTGAGTTCATTCAAGTCACATTCTCTTTGTTCAACAGGCTGAATTAGTTCCACAGAGCTGAAACTTTCCCTCCCCCCACTCTTCTTAAGATACAGAAGTTAAAAACGAACTCCTCCCCCGCAACCCCTTCACACAAAATCGACACTTGAGAAGATGTTATTTCCGCAAACTGAAATCCCACTACAAAATGAGCTATGGGTTTCAGAAATGCAGAACTGTAAGAACCAGCCAGGCAAGCCACCATGACATCTCCTACCGAGCCATGGCCCCACACACCACAGAGAAACAAGAAAGGCACCCCCCCATGCTGGGTCACTCACCTCAGGGATGCAGTCCTCGTGGGTGACCACGCGAACAATGTCATCCAGAGGGAGCAGGGAGTTGCACTTTATCTCTGTGTAGACATTTTTGCCCTCTGTGCACACAGCCAAGAGCTCAACCAAGTGGATGTGGTACATGAGAGGGCTGTTCTCATCCATCCGGTCCCGCTCAGACCGCATCATCTGGATCAGAGTCTGGAAAGAGGCTCTGTCATTGTAGAATACAAGGACATCCTCTCCTGAATTGACCAGCTACAAAAAGAATAGGGCTTGTTTCAGTTACAAGCTTACAGGGGTCAAAGGCAACATAAAAAATGTACTCGCAGAGAAAGAGAGAGAGTCTGTTGGTATTTACCTTCCAAAATCAGCCTCATCTATATTACTAATCTCATCTAGATTTCATTCATTTATATAACTGAACAATTAAAAATCTTCAGCGCTGAATTTTAATCCACAGATATAGAAATACCACATATTGGCATTAATATATCAAATCAAAATATAGATTGCAAGCTTGTACTTATAACCTACCAGTTAGGCTATGTTTTTTCTTTTTTAAATGTTTCCATCTTTTTATGGTTTATATAGTATCCCCTTTACAAGTCTTTAATTCACTGCCTTAACTCTTCAATCACAGGTTATCCACTTCTGATTAAGATATGCCTTCTTCTCAACACTTACCAAAAAATAAGGCATTTCTGTTCCTAAACTGTCCCCTAGGATGTGGCTTCTTACAAATCTATTTAAGAATAAATCAATTTCAGCATTATATAAAATACAAAAGATCCAAAAGGGGCTGGCAGAAAAGTCAAAATAAATCCAATCAATGCTATTTACTTATTAAAAATCAACCTTTATAAGTTCTAATTAGGTAACAGATACTACTAAGATAAACTCTTTAGATGAATTCCCTAACCTCACTGTGTTATTAGCGTCCTCACCTGTAAAAATGAGGACAAACACAAAACCTAACTCACAGTGCTGACATGTAGATTAAACAAATTATTATACATGAGTTGCTTAGAATAGTGCTTAGAGTAAGGTAGGCTTCCAAAAAAATGTTATCCATTTATGTCATCATTATCTAATTTAATCTGTGTATCAACTCCTTCAGGTAAAAACTGCTCTATCTTCATTTTACAGAAAAGCTCACTGAGGGTTTGAGAGGTCGAGTAGCACATCCCATGGCACATGGGCCATGAAAGTGTTCCCTAATGTTTGTATCCCAGGTTGAGCCAACTCTCTTCATCATACTACCCTATTTGTCACTAGAATCATATATGTAGACAGGATTATAAACCTAAATGTTAGGTAGATTTGCTTGAGATTTTGTTATTTTTAAAAAGTTAGAAGGATTAAACCAAGTCACATTTGTGTCAGAGTGGGCTATTATGATCAGAGACAACATCCACAAGGTGCTAAAACTTTCCTTAATGAACCAAGTAAGATTTTTCCTTGATTCTGCAGACCAGCTGCTCCTCACAAAGCATCACACAAAAATTTTTCACCTAATTACATTTTTCAAAAGAGTAATTAGGTGAATAATTTTTAAAAGTCATAATTCACAAGAAGGGAAGCTGTTCTGACATACTGGACTCTAACCACATTTCATCTCCATTTACTATATTCCAATTCATTATTCCCCTTTCTTTTTTCCTATCAGAAGAATCCAAGTTAAATTTCCTTAGAATTAATTGATTAATTGCTATGAAAGATCAGATCAGACTCTTGCCTTTATCTACAGTTTAAGTTCATAACATGGGATCTCTCTCTCTCTCTCTCTCTCTCTCTCTCTCACACACACACACACACACACACACTTTCTGCCCTTCCATGTTACTTCTCATGAGGATCCAAGTCCATACAGATAAGATTAAACAATTTCAAAATTGCTACAGAACACCAGATAAAGCTATACAGAAATATAGAACTGTCACCTCAGCCATGACCATGTCTTGGCATTTCTTAATAAATTTCCCCTCTGCCTTGACAATTGTCTGCAAGAACTTTATATACTGGACGTTTCGGCCATGAGTCTCTATGCAGTGAACAAAGTGCTGAACAACCCGCTCGTTGATCTCACTGCAAAGCTGGAAATTGTTCATGAAGATATGCTGCATTGTTACTGCCTCCAGGATCTGAACAAGAGGACAAAAGCATAGGGAAATGGTCAGGTGGAATCTAAAACAGATTAAAAAATGAGAAAAAGAAGAGTCCACTAAAAACACACAGAGAGAGAAATATTTAAATTCATGAAGATATGCTTCTCCCATGATTGTTTCTGTATTACCTTCTTTTTTAACAAACTATTTGAATGACACATAATAAACAGAAAAGTAAACAAAGCATTAGTGTTCAGTTAAATAGATTACAGACAGAACATCAGCACCCAGATTAAGAAAGAAAACAGGCCTCCTTTATGCCTCAACCCATAATTTAACTGTTATTTTGACTTCTATACCTATAGATTTGTTCTTGCCTGTTCTTGGACTTCATGCTTGCCTTTTCCATTGCATGAACGGGACAATGTATTTACCCATGCTATTGTTGAAGGGCATTTAGGGTAGTATCCAATTTTAATGAGTAGTGACAACACCACTATTACAAATATTAAAATAGAGTTGCTCTGAACATTCTTGTACATGTCTTCTGGTAAATTTAATATATGCATTTCTCTTGGATGTATACCCAAGAGCAGAACTGCTGGGTCACAACGTATAAGTATGTTTTGACTTTAGAAGATTCTGCCAAACACAATTTTGGCACCGTTTGAACAATGTCAACAATTAACATTCTACATTGCAGCTATTCTGCATCCTTGTCAACACTTAGTATTGTCAGTCTTTTAAATACTGTCCACAACTTACTGTGCCTATATAACTTAATTTGCATTTCTCTGAAGTCTAACCGTGTTAAGCATCTTATCACATTTATTGGCCATTTGGATATTCTCTATTATGAAGTGTCTATTCAAAGTCTTTTGCCAATTTCAAAGGTGAGTTCTTTTCCTCACTAACATTTTTTAGTTTGTTATACAATGGGGGACTCCTAAAAAATTGAGTGGGCACCATCGAATCTACTGAGAACCTAGATAGAACAAAAAAGTGGAGGAAGGATGAACTCGCTCTTTTCTGCCCCCGGATATCAGAGCTTCAGGTTCTCTAATTTTCGGCCTCAGGCTAAGAGTTACATTATCAACTCCCTTGGTTCTCAGGTCTTGGGGCTCAAGCTGAACTACACCAGTGGCTTTCTTGGGTCTCAGTTTGCAGATCATATTGTAGGACTTCTCAGCCTCCACAATTGCATGAGCCAATTCCCATAATAAATCCCTTCTTATATATCTATATATGAAGTGGGACTCCCCAAAAAGTGGAATTACGCCCCTTGTAGCACAGGTTGCCCCTATTAGGTATGTGTTTTAGGAACCCATCAGCATCAGTGTACCAGCTAGTGTTGCTGTGAGAGGCTGTGGTCAGCTTCAGTGAATTTTTTTGGAGATTCTTTTAACATTTGTCCATTTCATGATGGATGATTTACGAGTGCACCTACTCACAGGGCACTAAATTTTTCAACAGTTTTTCACAAAAACTGTGTCCCTGTGCCCCACCCTCCTCATTTTGCCCCAGCAACATTTTTCTTTTACTTTTTTGTCTCTCCGATGAAAAATGTGGACGAGGTAAAACAAAAAATGGCGGAAGCACTAAAAGGCATAAAAATCAATGAGTTCAAAAACTGTTTTGAGCAGTGAAAAAAAAACCTTTGCAGATACATTACATTGAATGGGAGTATTTTGAAGGTGACTGAAGTTTAAGTATAAGAATAAATATACAATTTTTTATAAATAAATTCTGGGTTTTTTTGGTCCTCCCTCATATATATTCTGGATATGAATTCTTTGTAGAACACACGGATTCCAAATGTCTCATGCTCTCTGCCTCACCTCTGGATGCTCTAAATGCTGTCATTTGACAAACAAAAATACTTAAAAGACTAATTTATTAATATTTTTGTTGATAATTAGTGCTCTTTTCATAATGTGTAAGAAAACCGCTTAGGACACATTCATAAAGATATTCTCATGTTATCTTCTAGAAGCTTTACTTTTTACCCAGAGTTATTCAGTTTCATGTTTGGTATGAGGTGGAGGCTTTAGTCTTTCTAACTTGTACCTTTTTTTCTCTTTACATGACAGAAAGGGAATACAGCTTCAATACCGCTTATATAGGTTCAATACCCCTTATCCAAAATGGTTGGGACCAGAAGGGTTCCAAATTCTGATTTTTTTACAATTTTGGAATATTTGGACTTTTATTAATTTAGAGTATTTGTCTATCAGTTGAGCATCCCAAATCCAAAAATCTGAACTCTGAAATGCTTCAATGAGCATTTCCTTTGGGCCTCATGTCAGTGTTCAAAAATTTGAATTCTGGAGCATTTCAGACTTCAGATGTTCAGATTTGGGATGCCCAACATATATTACATTACAATCCAGCAATCCTTTTTTTGGAAAACATTAACAGTACTAATGAGTGAATGTGTGTGTGTGTGTGTGTGTGTGTGTGTGTGTGTGTGTGTGTGTGTGTGTGTGTGTATACAAAATGAGTTCCTGCAGCACTGTTTACAAAGCCAAAAACTAGACATTATCTAACTATCCATTATTGTGAAGATGCTTTTCAAAAAGTTACAGCCATTTGATGCAATGCCATTTAGCCAACAAAAAGAATGGAAAAATTTCTCTCTCTCTGGTTTGCAAAGGCAGCCACAATGTGTTAAGTGAAAAAAGCAAAATGCAAGACAAATGTGTAAAATGTACACCATTTTTCTTTAAAGAATGTAAAATACATATTTAACATATTTTTAGGAATATACTGAACAAACTAAGATATAAAATAGATATGTTTTATAGGGATATGCTATGTATTCATATAAACAGAAAACTTTATGCATGACTTCAGGAAGATGTGGGTGGAGCTGAGACTTTGTACTTCTGTATTGTTGAAGTTTGAGGGTTGATATTAGGATGAAGGATGATATTAAGTTTGAGGGATGCTATTAGGAAAAAATAGAAATATATCTTACAATGCCCCACTACCTTCCTCCTTTCTGTTCCCCCAACTCCACCATCCTATCCCCAAAAGATGGGGCATATTTACATCCTCCTGACAATTGGTGAAAATGTTCCCCTTTGGAATGAACTAAAACAAGTCCCAGAAGTCAAAACAGCAAAAGAGCAAGGTGTTTGTCTTCCCTCTTCCCTGCCCTCCTCCCTGCATAGATTACAGACAGGCCTCAAATCTTACCCCTGGGTTGAGAAATAGGTTTATGTGTTTGTGTAGCAAAGCTTGATTCTGCTGGTTGCCTGCGCAGAAGTTCTGCAGAAATTCATGAGCCAGTCTCATTATTTCCTGCATCTTGGTATCTTCAGCCTGTGTGGGAGGAGACAGATGAAAGCACCAATCTTGCTAGGCCAGGAGACCAGCTTCTCCTACGCCCAACACCTTCTGCTGTTGTAGGAGTCAGGAGGTGTTTTATGAGGGCCTGCTTTGAGGGTAAATATTGAGGTGCTGTACTTTTGACCCATAAAAGAAGCCAGTAACTTGTTTATGCCTCATCGGTGAAAATGAAGATTCTATGGAGGGGTGTGGGAGGGGGAGCAATATAGAGGGAAAGCTGATAGAAAGCCTCTAGGAGTCCACTGTCTAACAAAGACTGAAACTTCTGGACCCCCTACTTCTGAAAACAGGGGCTGTCACCCAGTCTGGAGTACAGTGCATTATCATAGCTTATTGCAATCTTGAATTCCAGGGCTCAAGAGATCCTCCTGCTTCAGCCTCCTGAGTAACTGGGACAACAGGCAATGAGCATGCCACCATGCCAGGATAATTTTTAAATACTTTTTGTAGAGATGGGGGGTCTATGTTGCCCAGGCTGGTCTTGAACTCCTGGCCTCAAGTGATCCTCCTGCCTTGGCCTGCCAAAATGCTGGGATTACAGGCATGAGATGCGACACTTGGCCCAGCTTGCTTTTTTAAGTTTCCCAGCCTATTGGCACATTAACTTTTGGCAGCTGGTAACAAGTGGAAATCTATTATAAATTAGGGCAACTGTGCCTGCCATAATTCCTTTCCTTGATATGTCAGGTACAGTTTTTAACATAAGACTTTGCTTCCCCAGCTGCAAAATGGGGACAACACCTGTCCCAACATTTCACATGGTTGTCTGTGTGGCTCTCACAGAGAAAGCTGTGTGACTCTCACAGAGAAAATTTTGTGATTCTCATTTCATATATTAAAAGCATAGACTCAGTATTTGTAAAGAGTTAAACAGCCTGTGATAAGACAAGTAAATATAAAACCTATCGCCATTTTGCCCAACTCTAAATAAGTAAACACTTAATAATAGAAAGAGAATCCCTAAAATGGAAATCATCCTTCATATTCATACAGCCCACAGTAGTCTTCCTCAGTGGTTCATAGTTTTCACCTCATTTAAGAGGCAGGAGAGTGCAGCAGTTAGGAATGCAGGTCCTAAAACCAGACTGCCTCCCTCTCATCTCAGATCTAACTTTCTAGCTGTGTGACCTGAAGCAAGTTACTTCACCTCTCTGTGTCTAAGTTTTCCCATTTGTAAAATGGAGATAATATAAGTAAAAGTTAGCTACTGGTTCTGGTCTAGACTAAGGTCAGAAAACGTTTTCTTAAAAGGCAAGAAATATTATAGGCTTTGTGGGTCAAGAGGTCAAGAGGCAAAACCAAGGACATATGCAAGTACTCACAGAACTATTTAAAAATATAACAACCATTCTTAGTTGACAAGCTGTTACAAAAAGAGGCAGTAGGCTGAATTTGATCTATATCTATAGTTTGCCAACCCCTGGTCAAGAAAATCACTTGGTGAGAAAACAGAATACATTATCAAAACAAGTCACAAAAGGAATCTGAGCTCCCAGCTTTTACAACTGAACAAAAACAGGAGAATTAAAGAGGACTTTAACAGTAAGTCCCAGTATGACAGAGTGGGGATTATATTTGCCTCCCACTAAGAGGGAGTAGCAAACCTTCTATCTAAGAAATCAGAGGGCTTGGGACAGAGAGCCATTGCTGGTTGACAACAGTAACCTTAAGCAGTTCTACATGCTTCCATTCTACTTAAAACAAACAAACAAAAACACCTCTGCTGGCATGCAAGGCAACAGAAGAGGCTTTGTGGTTTGAAGTGGATTTTTTACAAGCAAGCTCCAAAGACATCACATCACAAGAGGTTGGGGGAGTTCCCCTACACTGTTCTACCACCCTGGGAAGTCTGTGCCCATCCAAAAGCAAATACACATCGTGCTCTGCCTTTGAGCCACCAGTTCGAATCAAATCTGGTTAACTGTAGATTAACACTGCTCAATGTACATCTCTTATTAAGGAAACTGATGAGATTATGAGACAATTATATGGTCGACAAACTACTTCTTCACATTCTTTATATGCAAGGGGGTAGATCAACATGTTGGTTCCAGTCCAAACACCACCCAAAGTTTGGATGACATGCATACCTATATTAATTGCAAGTTGGCTAAGTACCTGCCCCTTGAGAGGGATTAAACTTGTACTTTATTTGTAGCTGCTGAAGGTCTGGTCTGCCTGATTTACACGGTCTCCATGACTGAGAAGATTTCTCTGCAGGGAACCTTCTGGAGTACAGGGCAACCGGCACAGGTAAGGTGCAGGTAAGGCAGTAGGTCCAAGCTCCTCAGTGGAGCACAGCAGGTACCACCACACGTACCCTTGTCATCCAGGCAAGTTACTAAACCTCTCCAGCCACAGATTTCCCATCTAAAGTGGAAACAATGACAGTGCCACCCACCTCGTCCGCGTGTCTTAAGGATAACATGAGCTAATAAGTACAAATGTCCCAGCAGCACCTGGCACCCTGCAAGCACTTGACAGTGAGCTTTTGTCAGGCAACTTTTCACCAGCAAGTCAGTCTCTCTGGAAGAGCTAAGTCTAAGTCCTTGGACAATACACTTCCTCAAGCCTCAGTCTCCTCATCTATCAAGTGGGCACAATATGAATTCTTTATTGGATTTTGTAGGCTTGAATGAATACTTTCACAGGTGCCTCATCATTCTACACAGATGCACAGCACTATCATCTTGCTCCTGCTTCCCTAAATCCAATCTCTGTCAACGACAAACACTAACACGAAAAATGGGAGGCAGAGTACAACTTCTAGCAACAGAAAGAAGACTTCAACCAAAGTATCACCTGATGGATCCAGATACTTAACCAGACATCAGCATATTAGTGGAGGCCTCACCTAAAAAGTGGACAAGTCCCATGTTCCCAGATGCACTCAATAACATGCAGTACTTAAACTGCTCGAATAACACTATAAACAAAATTGCTACGCACCAGCTTATGTGCAGAGATAGCTGTGACCTAAGATACAGACCAAGTTGCCTCTATTCCATGCAGCTTGGAAGTAAGGAGAATACAAGAACTTGTCTGGACACGTGCAGTATCTCACACTTGTAATCCCAGCACTTTGGGAGGATAAGGCTGGCAGACTGCTTAAACCCAAGACTTTGAGATCAGCCTAGGCAATAGAGTGAAACCTTGTATTTACAAAAACTCACGGGATTAGGTAGGCATGAGAGTGCATGCCTATGTCTCAGTTTCTTGGGAGGCTGAGGTATAGGGACTGCCTGAGCTCAGAAGATTGAGGCTGCTGTGAGCTGTGATAGCTGTGATCATGTCACTGCATTCCAGTTTGGGCGGCAGAACAAAAACTTGATTAAAAATAAATTTTAAAAATACAAAATAAATAAATGGGCTCTTCTTTCTTTATAGAATCTTAACACTTGGAATGAAGATTGTTTATGGATGATTTTACTTTCTTTTTATGATGCTGTTTCATGTCTGTTTCATGTAAACTACCTATCATCACATCAGCTGCATGTCTTCACCAACAATATCCAAACATGAAGGGTCTGGTGGAACCCAGGGACCCACCAGGAGCAGCCAGCATGTGTGATGGAGTGCTCACCTTCTCGTAGGGAATCTGCAGGAGCTCCAGCACCACCGCATGCGCGCCCATGTTCCGGAGCAGTCGCTGCTGCTGCTTCCTGCTTTTCCTCACTGAGGCGCTCTCTTGGACACAGAGTTTGCTAAGGCGAATCAAAATCTGGTAGAAAGAAATCAGCCTCAGAAAATGAGACATTTTAGTTGGAAGAAGACTGCAGGGGCGGTGGGAGTTGGGCAGGGAGGCAAAAGGAATCACAATACATTAAAAACCAACAACGAGGCAGAGTCCTCTGATATGTAACATTGATGTTGACTACATCAAACCAAATCCATTTAAGATTAAGAACATGATTTCCAGAATAAGCAGTGGATTATGGTTTCAGCAAGTGGGATGGTTTCAGACAGACTGAGTAAAATGGTTTGACCTAGCATCATTGCCGAAATCTTGGGATGCTTGCTCTGGGGTAAAAAACACAAAGCTCTCAACCTCCCAGCTCTGAACCATCTTACACAGAAGTTTCCAAAGAGCTACACCTCTCACTGGAGGATATGACATGTCAAGCACTGAGATAAATTCTTGACAGTTATATCAATTAACCATTCAATTGCAAAGCTTCAGAAATACATGGCACCTATAAAAGGTGAGGAAACTGAAGACACAAAATAAGTGGTAGACCTAGATGTGGAACACAGATCTGACACTAAAACCCAAGAGTTTAATCTCTGACCTCTACTTTCTCCCTGTTAAGTCACATGAAGAAAAATGCTCAAATCTTTGCTCCTTCAACCTCTCACAAACTAAAACTCCTTAGAGAATTCACAAAGAAGGAGAAATGGCAGTGGGGAAGGGGCTTACCTCTTTCACCACTCTGTAATTGTAGCTGCTGGTGCTTTCATGCTTCTGCGACTTGTTATTGCCCTCCTAGGGACCAAAAGTGAACATAACTGTGGTTTGTACAATCTTGAGTTACTATTGGTTTATTATGACTAGCACCATCCTTTTTGAAAGAATGGGAGTGTTGTGCTGTTTTCTAAAAGTCATGCTGGGTTTATGCCCAAGTCATCTACCTACTCATACTGGACTCCCCTGGGAGAGGATGGTAGGCCAGGCCATGGCTAGAGAATAGGTTGATTCCCACGTGAGTCTGTAGGGAAACCTGGTGCTAATGTGCGCAACACTCAAGTTTCTTCTACACAGTCCTTGGTGGCAGGGGAAACATAGCTAAACTTGGACTTTATAGACCATTTCGAAGGCAAAGAGCTGTTACCCTAGTTACTTAATAAGCAGATCTCTTGAGAATAAAGCCCATCCTATAATATTTGTACCTAAAACCAGAGTAGGAAGCTTACTGGTTTTAAGAAGTCCACCCATTTACCTAGGCAGCATAACTTGTGTTTTGCTCACCTCTGCTTTCTTATGTTCATTTTCACCAGAAGCACCATCCATGGTCTCATCGGGGCCCTGCCCTTTGTATACCCAAAGCTCTGACTTTTCCACTATTGACCTCAGTTGATCCAAGTCTTGTTTGATCTGTTTGTAGTTGTCCACGTCTTGGCTAGTAACCAGCAGTTGAACCTTAATGAATGCAACCCATTAGACACACACGACAACTTCCTGCACAAACAACACACACTTAGGCAACCCAAGATACCTGTTTGAAGGCCTGGAGAACCTCCTGCCTCTGACTGAAGTGTCGGAAGAGGAGCTGCAGGGCCCCCGACACCAGGGGTGGGTAGTCATGCATTGTCAAGTGGAGCAAGACACGGAGGAAAGTTCTACCGCCATGATCATCCAAGTCCAATGGGGTGTTCTCCTCACTGAAGGAGCACATGGGGAGAAGGACCAAATGAACAATGAACACCTCCTCTCATGAACCCAGAGCCCAGTCACACCTAAACTAGTTAAATTTTTAACACTATATTCTAAGTCATATGACTTTTCATTTGCTCCTTTAACAATACAATCTTGCCTTATCTTCAATTATATCGTCAGGGGAGGGAATGTTGTAATTGTAAAATTTTAAACCAAAGTCCCTCCCCTCCCAAAGTAACAAGACCAGCATTACAACCAGATTCCCAACATGTAAATTAGGGTTTTCACCAGCTAGGCTTCAGCTGTGGCTTGAGAACCACAAATGAATGAATGTGTTTCTCCTGTTATTAGTTTTGTTTTTTTTTTTATTTAAGATACTGTAATTCAGTGCTTACCAAATTATCTGTGGTAAACAACCAGTTTTACTTCCATTTTGCAGCTGTCTGATATCTTGGCCTATACCAAGCCCACTGATCATGCCTTGGATGTCACGATAGGGCCAAATTTCCAGAAGAGTGCCAGATCACTCATTCTTAAGCTCTGTAATATCTTGTCACAGATTGGTAACAAGATGTTCAATCCTGTGGACCTCACTTTGAGGACTGTTGTCATGAACCAGTATAACTCAATGCTCTTCAGACTGAGATCAATCAACATATTATCCGGGGTTATCTCATTGCCTATTAATAATTTGACTGTGTTATTGCCATAACTTAAAAATAAGCATATTCTGGATCAAATTTCAGACTACTCCATAACTGGGCACTGCCAGTCAATTATTGTCAATATTCATATTATGTTTACTATCAAATGAATGACAAATGGTGATCTTCATGGTTACAGGTAAAAAAAAAAAAAAAAAGAAAAAAGCACAGAAAGGACTTAGTATGTAAATACTGTATTCATGCTATATATTCCAAAAAGGTGTGATGGTTTCACACTGCTGTTCAATATAAGGAAAATGGTAAGGGGGTTGAATGGTAACTTAGCACATGGAAGTGGTGTCATGCTAAATGCAAAACACTTTGTATAAGTTTTAAAAAAATCTTCCAACATAGTACATGATGTTGCTAATTCAAATTTCACAGGATTTATATTGAACACTGAGGTAGACTGTTAACATTAGTGGCTCCCAACAAAGTATTCACATTCTTATGTAGTTTCCTCCCATACTGACACTGGGCTTGGCCATAAGATTTGCTTTGATCAATAGAACTTCGGCAAACACAATGTAAGCAGAGGCTTATAGCGCTTGCATACTGCTGCCTTATCTTCTTAGAGCACTTGCTCTAAGAGTCAGCCACCATGTTGTAAAGAAGCTCAAGCAATTCATGTGGAAAGAGAAAAAGAGGTACTGGCCTTATGAGCATCCCTGCCAAGGCGCCAAAATGTGAAAAGCTACTTGGATGTGCCAGCCCCAATCACTAGCAAAACAGCGACCAGCAGAAAAACCATCCAGCTTAGCCCTAGTCAACCCATAGAGCTGTGAGTGGCAATAAAATAATTTCTGTTTGAATCCTTAAAGATTTTTAGAGTTAGTTTATTATGCAGCAATAGATAATCAAACCAAGTGTGTTAATTATAAGAATTGAGTGCATAGGGTGTTTTTAGCAAGTTTTATACTTGTAGGTATGTGAGTTTCATAATAATAATAATGCCTTAAGTCAAAATTAAGCAATGTGATGTTTCAAAAGGAGGTTCATATATTAATATTAGGAACAACGAAAGAACAGATTGAGTCTTCTTTGTTGCATAGCCTGTAAAGAGCTCAGGGATAAAACTGCAGCCCATCAGCAGCCCATTGGCAACAGAAAGACATGATCTTACTAATCTTACACTTTTTTGAGCCCCCTCTCTCTTTCTAGTCTTCCTTTTGACTGCATTTTCTTACCATGCAAAAATAATCTTATATATATATATGTATTTTGAGAAACCTCCTTACATCCTTTCTTCCCTAGGCAAGAAACACACACATACACACACATACAGACATACAACTGAGATAATTCTGACTTGAGAACTTAGAGTTCCAAAGAAAACACTAAAACAACCTAAGCCCCAAAACGAAATATTTACTAATACAGTCAAGGAAAAACCTTTGAGAGGTATAGAAGAGCAGCCTTCCCAATTGTAGATCCACCTATATAACAATAACTGAAAATATACTTTCCTTCCTCCAAAGATGCCTTCTGCTTGCTCTTCAATGTGTTCAAAGTCAAGAGCACCTGAGAAGTTGGAGAACATAACTTCAGATGCAGGACTCTCTGAAAACACGTGGCTGGTGAACGTATACAAAAGTTTTGCAGGGGCAAAGCTGTTGGCTTAACTACAAATCTTCCAGAATCATATGCTGCAAAGCTACAGAGCCTGACTAACTCAGATGACACTATCCCATGTTCCACACTGCTACCATTTCCCCCACTCACTATAGGGCCCCTTGTTAAACCAGAGTGATGACCTCACCCCAAAGAATCTTGAGGCTTGGTACGTGGGATTATTTCTACCACTACACTTCCTTTCACCATTATTTCCTAGACAGAGAAAAACTTCCAACATGAGTAAAAGTTGCTAGTGAACAATAAAGTTTTTTGGAGAGTTTTTTGTTGTAGTAGTGTTTATTTTGTTTTGGGGGAGCACTTCACAGATAACCACAATACTAGAAATGTCAGCTGTCTATGACTAAAACACTCCAAGATGGTAGAAAACAAGATCCATTCCAGAAGGAATCTGGGCTCCTTCAATTTATTCTCTTGTCCAAAAAGAATAAGTGGGCTGGGTGAGGTAGCTCACACCTGCATTCCCAGCACTTTGGGAGGCCAACACATGGGTATCACTTGAAGCTAGGAATTTGAGACCAGCTTGGACAATAGAGTGAGACTCAGTCTCTACAAAAAAATAAAAATTGGACAGGTTTGGTGGCACATGCCTATAGTCCCAGCTATTCAAGAGGCAGAGGCAGGAGGATCACCTGAGCCCAGGAGATCAAGACTGCAATGAGCTACAAGAGGGAGACCATGTCTCCAAAAACAAACAAACAAAAACAACCCCCAAAAACAAAAAAAGAGTAAGTGCTAGGATAAAATCTTAAAATACAATAATCCTCAAACAAAAACATTCACATTTTACCCTTTCTCTAGAAGACACTGTTTGGATTCCCAGTTTCCATTAGACCCAGGTCCCATTCTATGGCTAAAATTCCATTCTGAAATCACTAACCTGGTACATTACTTGGCCCTTCTTGGCTGCTGTTTCCAGAGGATGTTTCCGAAGTCTGGGAATTGCTTTCATCAAACTCCCTCTTAAATATACACAGGAGGCAGGAGATCCTATAATCCAACCTCACATTCAAAATAAACTAGAGATTCAAGTGGAAAGGGAAACAGATTAGTTACATTAACATACCACCTTGAATACTTTGCCAAGCCACCACACTCTGGCAGGCCTGGTATCAGCAGCACCAATTACCTTAAGCACAATGCGAGCTAAATATTTGGCTCAGATTTCAACAGTCATTTCCATAACAGCAAACTTCCAAGGGGCATATCAAGTCTGCCCACAGCACCTTAGCTTCTAGTGTAAACTTCAGTATCCTGGCAATTAATTTAACAATTAGAACACTGAATCACTCACTCCTGGCTCCATCCCCTATAAAACATTACTTTATGTCAGTAAGTACTGAATGCCAACTCTTGGCCTAACACTAAGAAGAGTGAAATTGCCTGCTTTGGATTTAAGAAAATTGATAGAGAATATTTTGGTTTTTACTACTGAAAATCAGTTTGATTCACACTTTCTATTTCTGATTGTTTCCTTTGATTTAGGTACAAACCCTTGGGCACCCTCTATTCCAATACAGGGTCACTTTCCCAGGACAGTTGCTAGAACCAAAAAGAAAGATCAACCAGCAGGCATTATTTAAGGATCTTACTGACGTTCTTCCTTCCATTCTCTCTTTATCTCTGCCTGGCCCTCCTGTCAACTTCCCCAATCTAAGGGCTGTCAACTCTCCCAGATGGAGACAGATCTTTGACCTGCCTTCAAGTTTTGGTCCATGTCTGTTACTGACTGTTGGTATCTTCTAAAAGTCTCAAACTCAGAATTGCACAAAAATAACTGTTACGGTTGATTTTAGGTGTCAACTTGACTGGGTTAAAGAACACCCAGATAGCTGGTAAAGCACTGGGTGTGTCTATGAGGATGTTTCTGCAAGAGACTGGCATTTAAATCAATGGACTTAGTAAGAAAGATCTGCTCTCTCTCAATGTGGGTAGGCATCATTCAATCCACTAAGGTTCTAGATAGAACAAAAATAAGGAGGAAGGATGAACTTGCTCTTTTCTGGAACTGGCACACCAATCTTCTGCCCTTGGATATCAGAACTCAGGGTTCTCAGGCCTTTGGCATCAGACTAAGAGTTACACTATTGGCTCCCCTGGTTCTCAGGTCTTGAGACTCAAGCTGGATTACACCACTGGCTTTCCTGAGTCTCAACTTGCAGATGGCATATTATAAGACTTCTCAGCCTCCACAACTGCACGAGCCAATTCCCATAATATATCCCCGTTTATCTATCTATATACAAAGGGAGACCCCCCCAAAAAATGGAATTATTTTTTGGAGGGCAGGCCCTTGTAGTACAGGCTTCCCCTGCTAGTTAAGTGTTCTAGGAACCCAACAGCATTAGTGAACCAGTTAGCATTGTTATGAGAGGCTATATTCAGTTTTAGTGAATTCTGAGGGGAGAATCTTTCAATGTGTTTGCCCATTTTATGATGGGTGATTTATGAGTGCACCTGCCCACATGCACTGAGTGTTCAGCAGTTTTTGACCCAAAACAGCATGAACTCCGTGCCCCATTCTCCCTATTCACCTGATCTCACCCCAAGCAGCTTATTTTTTCTTTCCCCTGGATGAAAAAAGTCCTCAAAGGAAAACATTTTACCAATGTGGAAGAGGTGAAACAAAAAATGGCAGAAACACTAACAGGCATCAAAACTGATGAGTTTAAAAACTGCTTTGAGCAGTGGAAAAAGCGTCTCAATGGGTGTACCGCATCAAATGGAGAGTAAGTACTTTGAAGGTGACTGAGTTTAAACATGTAAGAATAAATAGACGCTTTTTTGTAAATAAATTCTGAGGTTTTTTGGGTCCCCTTTGTAAATCCTATTAGTTCTACTTCTTTGGAGAGCCCTAATACACTGACAACAACTGTCGGTCATGCCATAATCTACTCTCCTGCCTGTGTTTCCTCATCCCCAGTTAGTCTCAGGATCATCAGCATCACCTTCCCTGACATACACATCTAATCAGAGACTAAGTCCTGGTAAGTCCTGCCCACCACTTCTCACAGATTTCTCTCCCACTGCCATTAATCTCTGCTCACATCCTCACTATCTCCTGCCTACCAAATCCACCTCTCAAGAGTGCTTGTTCTTATGTTAGCCCCCACTTGAAGACTTCCAAAGGCTCACCACAGAATAAAGTCTTAACACTTTAGACATCCAAAGCTCTCTAGCATGTGACCTGGTCCTCCTTCCCAGCCTCATTTCTGATGATGTCTCCTCAACATACTCTACGTCCCTGCCCAAGGAGAACCGCTGACCCATGTCCCATTATGACCTGCTTCACCCACCTGAGAAAGGTCCCTTGTTTCTAAGTTTATGAAGTCTCTGTCCACACTTAAAGGCTCAGATGAAATCCTACCTCCTCTGTAAAACTTTCTATGATCTTTACCACGTGGAGTCATGTGACCCTTGCTGTGTCAAGGGAGAACAATTTTCTCGTGGTTTTATTTCCACATATACACGGCTTCATCATACCTTATTCTCCTATTAGAATCTTAGCCTCTTGATTCCTTGTTCGGATCATTTTTTGCATTCCTCACAGAGCCCAGCAAAGGAGCATGCACATAGTAAGGGGCTACTAAGTATTTGTGAAAAGAATGACTCAGTCGACCAGTCATTCTCAGGTTACTACAGTGACCAGACCTCAAGATGGGACCAAGTTTTGCACTGTGTCATTTCTGATGAACATCCATAACACTAACGTGGGACACACAGTCCATGGCCTAAGAACGTTACATGTATGAAAGTAGACTGGATAAAGAAAATGTGGTATATATACATGACGGGATACAATGCAACCATGAAGAACACAATCTTGGTATCACTGCAACTTGGATGCAGTTGGAGACCATCATACTTAGTGAATTATCACAGAAACAAAGAACTGAATATCACATGTTCTCACTCGTAAGTGGGTCCTGAACACTAGGCACACTAGCACAAGAGTGGGATTGGTAGAGGCACTGCTAGGGGAGGGAGGAAGGAAGGAGGGGAGGAGGCACAAGGCAACGTGAAGGGTGTCTGGTTCATTGCCAAGGGGAGAGATGGCCTCCTAGAAGCCCAAACTTCAGCTGCAAGCAGTATAGTTATGTAGCAAATCCTCACTTGTACCCCATGACTACAAAATAAATTTTAAAATAAAAATAAATTTTAAAAAAGTCTTTCTCTACTTTTGGTTAGGCACAAATTCAATAAAGTTTCCCTTTTACTTAAGCTGCTCTTTACTGTCCTAACTAGATTACTATTGAGAAGTTCGACTGATGTTTTCAAGGCATTGATAAAATGTGATTTCAGGCTAAAAAGCAAACAAACAAACAGACAAACAAGCAAAACCTCAAGTCTGTAAACATTTATAAATAGCTACATCTTTGGGGATTGAAGTTAGGTAAAGGGGGAAAAAGAGAAAGGTGCTAACATGATTCCATTAAGGAGAAGATGGCTTTGTTGATGAATAAAAATTACCTACATGGGAGGAAAGCACAGACTGTTGGGGGAGTTCAAAGCTACAGTGAGGCTGAGAGGATCTCAGACTGAGTACTAAGAGGATCTCACACTGAGTACTCCCTCCCCATAAGCTGCATCCCTCTTGCTGACACAAGGACTTTGCTCTTACAATTATTCTCTCTCTCTCTTACAACAATCAATACATTCTTCCTCTTTACACAAATTGTTCATATTCACCATACAAACTTGTTAAAATCTACCAACTTAAAAAAATATTACGATAAAAATGAAACTTTCCAGTTACCAACAATCATTCTCTGCCCATCTTCTCACTCTTCTGTGTATCTTTAATGCCAATCTATGCAAAGAATGTATATATTCACTCCTTGGATTTGTCTTCTCCTATTTCCTCTTGAACTCACCTCCATTGTAAGGTCTTTGCATTTGCTGTTCCCTCTACCTCAAAGACTCTTTTACCGGATACCACATGACTAGCCCCTTGCTTCATTCTGGTCTCTCATCATGTAACCTTACTTGAGAGGCCTTCTCTGATAATCTCATCAAATACAGTATCTCTGGCCTTCTGTCCCCAGTGGTCTCCAAACCCTTCATTATATTCTAACATCTCTTAGAACTTAATTTTAATATATTTCTATGCCCCCTTCAAAATGTAAATTTTTTAGAATCAAGTATTTAATCTATTTTGCTCATTGCTGGATCCCCAGTGTTTAAAGGGACTTGGCACAGGGTTGGTTTCAATAAATATTTGTTGAATGAATGAAAAAAGGAGGGAAGGAGACTTTGCAAAGTTAATGGAACCTTGAACTAAGTTATGAACAATAAGCAGGGAATGTAGCTACATGCACAGGTAAGTGAATTCTAAGCAAAAGGGGTATCATGGAGAGCAATGATCATGGAGGAAGTATTGGTATGGCTGGAGGGTCAAGGCCATGTTGGGGAAGGGTAGGGGATGACAGTAAAGGGATTAACAGAAGCCAGTTCATAAATAACATGAAGGGATGAGCTAAGAATTTTCCCTCCATTTTCCTCCCAGAAAAGCAGAGACTAGATCTGAACCGTGTCCCTGTGAAACATTCTTCCCGCTCCCACTCTGACTGATGGATACCTGGAGTATTTCAATGATCTTCAGCTTGGTGTCCATGACCATGATGTCCTCCTTCTCTGGCTCTGCCTGTTTCACGTTGCCTTCAGGGGCGGCAGCCATGGGAGTCATAGGCAAAAAGCCTCCTCCCCGGAGCACCACCTGGGTCATCAGCTCCCCTACTCCATGAATAGACCTCATTACATTACTGCCTAGGAAGGACCAAGACAGACCACGGTCATGACATCTCTAGAGAGTGTGCAGAGGCATCTGTCAAGGGGCAGGAGCTCTTTGAGACAAATTATTTAACATGTCCCTATTTCAATACACTCTCAGGACCTTGGGAATCTGGAAAGGTAAATTACCATAAAAAATTTGGAGCTTCTGAGAGTAGTGGAAAGAGTGTAGGCTTTGAACTCCCCAAAGGATCATTTCAAGTTACATTGATAATCACCAATGGGCTTGTTAAGGGCACAGAACAAAAGATTATACACATTACAAGGAACAAACCCTGGTGCTGCTACCAAAAGCTCTTTGATCTTGGGTATATTATCCCCGAGGCTCAGTTTCCTCAACTACAAAATAAAATAAAGGAGTGCAACAAAAGAATTAAATGATATAATGTATACAAAATGACTTAGCACAGGATCTAACAAATAGTGGGAGATAAGTCAATTTACATTTTCTGTTTAAACAACAATTGATACAAGATATCAAATATATGTCTACTCTGACCCTAAAACAAAGGAAAAAGTAAACATGTAAAGGTAGATTTTCCTATTCACAAAGAATTCATAAAGTGGAAATAGCTACCAAGATACAAGTTTGGATTTTATTTTAGTATAAACTAATATTATCATCAAGGGCCCCATGAACATTAAGAACAATGACAGGACATGTGCTTCTGAAACAAAGTGTTAAGTAACTTTGAAACTGTTTAATAAAATATACACAAAGACGCTCAAATATATACACAAAGGAAAGACAGCAAAATGTAAATAGTTATTGACACTGAGTCATGGGTATATGGGACACCACTGTACTGTTCTTTCAGCTTATCTTTATACAGTACTTGAAAGTGGTCACAATGAAGAGTTGGGAAGGAAAGAACAAGGGAAGGACATGACATCACACATAGGGTATGACATGAGCGTAATGGGAAAGGCTGGGAGGGCATCTCTCAGATGTGTGGGCACCATCAGATACTCACTCTTCAGCTTCTCCACATCATTGTTACCTTTATTCTCTTCTCCTTTAGCCATCTTGCTAATGGGGAAGATTGTTGTCACATGTACACAGTCCAATATGGCCAGGAGGATCTTGGTTAATCGTAGAAGGTCAGAGAAGTTGTAGAAACCAAAGTATATAAGATTCCTAGCTAAATTTACAACCTATTATATTTAATAAAAAAAAGAATATAATATTAAGTCAACTGCATTCTTCAGTTCCATTTGATGTTGACTAGTTTATAAATGACAGATTTTGACCTTACCTATGGTAACAGAAGACATATATTTTTGCTTACAATTTCTGATAAAATTTCATTTTATTTCATAAGGAGGAAGAATAAGAAATGGAAATCTGTAGAGCTAATGATCTGCTTTGATGACTAGTTTTTAAAAGAATGATCTAACCATTTGGTCTACACAGGGTCTCCAGGGCAATACTGAGCAGAGTTATTCTCAACAACAGATAACAACATCGCATCTCAGAAATCTAACTCTTAAAAGGCAAAAGTGGTCTCAGAAACTTCTTAACTCAAAGGAATAAAGATGTATGTTCCTTAAGTGACTAATCTATGGCAAATCCCAAGCACAGTCTGTTTCTCTCGTCACTTTTTAACACAAAGTACAGATTACACATAATATTCTATCATTTCACATGATTCAATTCACCTTGCATATTTCTTTTAAGAATACAACTACTGTTAAGTCAAGTGACTAGTATCAGTTCTATTTCATTCTGGAACAAGAGTGAGCAGAATTCCTTTTCATTACAAAACCAGAGCATCATGATCAAAATCACTACCTACTCATATATTTTCAATTTATCTTACAGAAAAAAATTACCAGGAGAGGCAGATAACACACACATCATTTCATCATGAGTTACCTCAAACGTAAGCTTATTTTTCTCCTTATCAGAGAAAGGAAACCTCTGACAAACCACATCTCTTAAATACTCCTCCACAAATTCCATGGTCTGAGCAAACCTCTCCTTAATTTCATCTTTGGAAGCTCCACTGCTATCATAGCTAAAAGGAAAGGAGGAAAAAAAAGGAAATAAAATTTCAAGGTCTTCCACTGAGGTCTTCCTGGGTCTCTGAGCCTCAAAAATCAATATACCCCAACCCTTCCTATCTCTTGGCCCTACTTTCTTTCCCCCCCGTAGCAGATATCACTAACATATATTAGTTGTTTATCTTGTTTATTGTTTGTCTTCCCCCAACATATAGTTTTATCATTTGTTCATTGTGTGAGCATGGCACAAAGCACATACTTAAATACTTGTAGAATGAAAGAGAGAAACAAAAAAAGAGATATAGAAACACAATCAGGCCTGGGTTGGTGGCTCAGCCTATAATCCCGTGCTTTGGGAGGCCGAGGTGAGTGAATTGCCTGAGTTGCGGGTTCAAGACCCACCTGGGCAACTTGGTGAGACCTCATCTCTACAATAAATTAAAAAATTAGCCAGGTGAGGTAGCGCTCGCCTGTAGTTCCGGCTACTTGGAAGGTTGAGGTGGAAGGATCGCCAGAGCCCAGGAGGTCGAGACTGCGGTGGCCGGGAGCGGCCACTGCACTTTAGTCTGGGTGGCTGAGTGAGATTCCAACTCAAAAAAAAAAAAGAAACACAACCGTGTCATCTTTCACATTTTTAAGGGGAAAATATTTGCCATCCACTTAATTTTAAGCTTAAAAAAAATAACTTCACCTTCCTTCTATGATTTAGCAAGACCAATATGTGGCTTATCTATTGCCACGCAGAATAACGTCAATAAGAGGTTTTAAAGTGACACGAGGTTTTGGCAGGCAGAAGGAGCCAAACTCACTCATCAATGGCAATCTCAGAGGGAATCTCTGACCATAGGCGGGCATATTTCACTGGAGTGACTTGTTCCTGGGGATCTCGGTCCACATGCATGTGTAGCATGAGACGGCAGAAGGACGCCCTCAGGTCGTAGGGCAGGTTCTCATCAGACATGCAGCGGAGAATGAGATCTACGTCCAATTGGCCTGAGATTTCATTGATGGCCAGGTACTGTCGGTCCAGACACATTCTTGCAAAGAGATTCAGCTGGTACCTAGAGAAAAGAACAGTGAGAGAGCTCACACTCCAGAAATCATTCAGGATGAATGGAAACACACCACAGGGTCATCCAGGTGGCCTCAACTTTCCTAGGAGTGATATCTGGCCATCTGAACTCATACATCAACACCCCTAATTGTTCTTGCACACCAGATTTTGGTTTTGGTAGCAAACAGATCACAGAAAAGTTCAAGTTATGCCACAGAGTGTGGATTGACAGTCAACAGTAACAGGTGTCTAACCAGCAGTGTTGGAGCAATGTTATGACCTGATTTTATTAGGTCCTAGTTTACTTTAAAAAACAAATAGGGGAAAAACGTTTAGGCCTAAGACGATTGTCTATTTCTATCTCTTCAGTTCTGTCTTTATGTAGCACATTAAAAACCATGTAGAGAATGTTAAAGAAGCCAGGCACAATGGCTCATGCCTGTGATCCCAGCACTTTGGGAGGTAGGGGTGAGATGATCGCCTGAGCCCAAGTTTGAGATCAGCCTGGGGAACCAGGTGAGACCTCATCTCTACAACAAATAAAAATATTAGCCAGGCGTGGTGGTGTGCGTCTGTAGTTCTACCTACTTGGAAGGCTAAGGTGGAGGAATCGCCTGTGCCCAGGAGGTTGAGGCTGCAGTAGCTGTGAGACAGAGTGAGACTCTGACTCAAAAAGAAAAAAAGAAAAAAGAAAGTTAAAGATATTGCCCATATTGAGTCTAATTAGAAACTTAGGATATTATGTCACATAAATCATCATTTAATTCCTACACATGTGAAAAAACATTGGATGTACAAAAATAGGGTACTCCTTACTTATTTTTTTCTTTATCCAATTACAAGTGAACTTTGTTCCCTGAACTTGACTAGTTGAGGCGTTCTTTCTCACTCACTTGGAAGATTTATCAAACATTTAAAGAGTACACACACTCACAGTGTGAAATAAGAGAGCCCTAATAAGTTTTCAAATTAGCAAATACTGGTCTCCAAATTTAAAATCCTATGTGTTGTTAATAACCATAATTTGAAAATATCCTCATCCTCACTAGATATTTGCAAGTTTGGACATGATTCTATTTCATACTCATAAAAATTAACAGAAATCGAAAAGCATCACAATATTCAAAGTTAGTAATGACATGAGAAAACAAAAGTTTTCATCTACAATGGGTCAAAGTGTGCCTTGAAACTTCCAATTTCACACTCAAGTTTTGAGTGTGAATATCCTCTAGTGTGTGGAATGGAAACTCACACATAAACTCAGAAAAATTTGAATAAGGATGTTCCCCGAATTGAAGAACTAAACTGTGGCATATGATGAAATATCAAACAGCAATGAAAATGTGATACATTAATAAAACAATACGAATTAGTGGTCAAAATTTTTTAAAAATGAATCTATCACTATTAACACAAACACATTTCAGTAACAATATTGAATAAATAAGGCAAGTTTTAGAGTGGTATTTGGAATATGGCATCATTTATATAAAACGCTAAAAACAGATAAAATGCCATATTATTTAAAGATGCATATAAATGTAACAAAATATAAATACACAGAAGAACTTGATAGGATGCACACAACATGCATGAACAGAAGGGGAGAGAACAGAATACAGGAAGTGAGAAAAGGCATTTTAACTGCAAGGTTTTATTTCTTTTATCAAAAAATACTGGAAGCATGACTTTATCATCTCTTCTTTTTTGTGTTCAGTTCCCTTTTTTTTCTTTCCCTTTGTAGGTGATAGGGCTAGCAGGTGTTACAGCTGGAGCCAAGGAGACACCAGGGACCAAGACCAGGAGGGGTGAAACTGGTGACACACAGTGGGAATGAGCAAGCATTTAAAGACTGGGAATAAAGGCAGCCAGAGGGAGCTATGAACTGGAAAGGGTGAAGGCTAGAATAAACCCTACAGTGTTAGAACGTAATTGGAAGTATTAGTGCAAACTCATGGTTTTTATTATATATTTTTATAGACATACATAGCAATAGATCTGTGTATGCACACATACACATCTTCTAGCACCGTCTGTAAATGTTTGATGGGACTGGCACTATCACCTTTATTTTGTTTGTAAAGAAACTAAAGCATAAAGTCAAACTTGACCAAAGTCAAAAAACGAGTAAGTAGAGAGTTCAGGATTTTGATCCCAGACAGTCTGACCCCACAGCCTGCCTTTTAGTCTTCAGTTGTATCTGTGTGCTGCACCAAGGACTGATGTGATCACACCAAGGACCAATGTGATCACCCACCCACCTTGGGACTCAGCCACCCACAGATGTCAGCTAAGTATTCCTGAAAGCTTACATTCTAAACTCCTAAAATATACATCTGGCTTCTTGTTAAACAATCTTACCACACGAACTTTGTGACTCCTAGGCATAATCACCAGACGAGCCATAAGTCCTAAGTGCCACTCTTTTGGGGCACCCCAACTCAAGTCCCACATGACTTCTGCTCACCTGTAGTAGCTGAGAACATCTCGGTCTTCCTTCTGCCCTTCTTTAGCATCTTGTGCCAATTCCCTGACACTCTTGCTGCGAATCTCTTTGTTGCTGTCCCTCCAAAATAGCCACACCTCTTCCTCATCTTCTCCTGCCTCCAGAGCATTCTCTCCAGTAGAAGAAACGCCTTCAAATTCAAAACGAGAAAGAACCAACCTAGAGGAGGAGGGAAAAGTCATTATTTTCGAAATCCTTTGAGACTGAGCTTCGCTTTCAGCATAAAGACACACACAGAGAGCCATTTAGTTTTGTATTTCTCCCATGGACAGTACCACAAAGAGCCAAACACTCGCTTTTTCATATGCTGTAACCCTGTGGTTCTCACTTGGGATGATTTTGCCCCCAGTGGACATTTGGCAATGAGTGGAGACATTTTTGGTTGTCACAACTGAAAGAGAGGGGTACTACTGGCACCTAGTGGGTAGGGGCCAGAGGTACTGCTAAACGTCTTACAGTACACAGAATAATTCCCACAACAGAGAACTGTCCAGTCCCAAAAGCGAAAATGCCCAGGTTGAGGAATCCTGCAAAAGCCCAAGTTCAAAACTGAGTTACATAAGAAACAAAGACATATCACTTACTTAGAGCATAATTTAGCATCTTTAAAAAAACGTTGCCCATATTACTGGTTCTATGCTTGTCAAGAAAACTGTTCCTTTGCCAGAAATAAATTAATACTAACAAAAATTCTACAAACCAAAAAACACTTTTTAAACAATGATAATTTAAAACTCCTCCCAACACTGACTTCATATTAACACTGAATATTAACTGTCATTTAAATATTTTAATTGAGGATCATACTTAATTTTAAACTCTTAAAATTAAACTGTATAGCATGCTCCTTTCTGACTTTTTAAAAACTTGTTTGCAAAGTCAGTGATACTATTTAGTAGAGGCAGCCACACCAAAAACTCAATGATTCCCCTAATCAAGACTTCTTCCAGCCGGGCTCGGTGGCTCAGTCTATAATCCCAGCACTTTGGGAGGCTGAGGTGAGTGGATTGCCTGAGCCTGCGGGTTCGAGACCCGCCTGGGCAACTTGGCGAGACCTCATCTCTACAATAAATTAAAAAATTAGCCGAGCATGATAGTGCACACCTATAGTTCCAGCTGCTTGGAAGGCTAAGGCGGAAGGATCGCCGGAGCTCAGCAGGTCGAGGTTGCGGTGGCCGGGAGCGGCCACTGCACTCCAGTCTGGGTGACAGAGTGAGATTCCAACTCAAAAAAAAGACTTCTTCCAAAAGGAAGAACAAATGTCAGCCACCCTTACCGTAGATCATCTCAAGAAACCAAGGTGTTAGGTTTTATTACTCACGGGCACAGACATCCACTAAACCACGTTTTCAATCTAAACCCCTTCTATGTCTTTAAATTCCAGCCCCCACTTACTTGGTCTCAATCAGGATGTCAGCATTGGTGGGATTCAGGACAGCTTTGCATATCAGTTCCTGGGTCACTGGAATTGACTTGTTCATGGAGACACAGAGGTCAGAGAGGTAATCTAAGAATCTATCCAGAAACAGAAACAAAACAAAACATTTTCTGTAGACAGAGCAGTGGTTAGGTTCTGAGAGCCTGACTCTTCCTCAAGTGCACAGGTCCAACATACCTTTAACAAAGGAGTCAGCAACATTTAGGTCTTGGTGCCAGTGTCTATGGCACTAGCAGAAACCCAGATGCCAGAGAGGAAGAGGGAGGGAGCAAAGAGGAAATACAGCAGTGGCTGGGGTCAAAGAAGAGGTGATGAGACAAAGGTGAGAAGGAAGAACAAGACAAGAAAGTTTGCTCACATAAGGAAGGAATGCTGGGAACACAGGGAACCACCGTGGTAAGAGGGAACAATCTGATGTTCTGCTGCCTAGGATGGAAGCCCAGTTCTGACCTCATTAGCTGAGTTCGGATATAGACCACTATTTGGGGGAAATGACTTAACTGCACTGTGCTTCAGTTTTCTCATCTATAGAAAAGAGCAGTTTGTCACTTCTTAGGGGTGCCCTGAGACTATGCGAGATAGTTCACATAAAGCGCTTTCTTAGCTCACTGCCTGGCTCATGAGCAGACAGCAGAGAATGCTGGCTAATTTTATGGGTGGTAGTAGCCATTTTTACAGCAATGCTATCAGCTCTCCAGTGTGATCTTTTGTGACACCTACATCATAAACTGTTTCCCAACTCACCTGAAATGGTGTGGGTTGTCATTAGAAGGAAAAGAGAAGTAGAGAAGAGACAGGGAGGGAGGGTAGGGAAGAACTGTATGAATGAGACAACATGGACACAATTTATAATGTACGATAAAAACACTCAAGTAAAAACTGAGCTTGTAGAAGACACTGATGATATTTGAGGGGAGCATGTTTTAACTGATAATCAGGGGATGCTAAAAAGTGAATGAGTGGCCAAGAATAATTGTCACTTATTGTGCATCTACTAAGGGCCAGGAACTTCACATGTACCTATTCTCATTTAATTTTCCTATCAATTTAGATGATGAGGAAATTAAACCTTAGGAAGGCCAGGCTCGGTGGCTCATGTCTGTAATCCCAGCACTTTGGGAGGCGGAGGCAAGAGAATTGCCTGAGCCCATGGGTTCAGATCAACCTGGCGAGGCCTTGTCTGTACAATAAATAAATAAATAAATAAATTAGCTGCGCATGATGGTGCATACCCATAGTTCCAGCTACTTGGAAGGCGGAGGTGGAAGGACTGCCTGAGTCCAGCAGGTAAAAGCTGTGGTGGCCGTGAGCAGTGTGCCACTGCACTCCAGCCTAGGCAACAAAGTGAGACTCTGACTCCAAAAAAAAAAAAAAAAAACCCCAGGAAAAAGTCCAAGTCATCCGGCTGGTACATGTTAGGGCTAGGATTCCACCCAGTCTCATTCCTGTACCATGTTCTTGCTACTACTCATCAGAGAGCCTCTTGAAACCTAACTAATAAAAACTTGTCACTAGCAGCCTAGAGGAAAAAAAACCTAGTAAAAAGCACCAGGAGAGTTCCTGCATCTTAACACATTCACGACTGGCAAATTTTTCACTTTCCTAATACTGAGAGAGGGTGAAAATTTTAAAAATCTGAAGCTGGTTGCTGCAAACTTCTGTTGTTAAGTACAAGTGAAACGGACTTTTCTAAATTTTCACCTTTTTCACAATACAGCTGAAAGTTGCAGACATATCCAATATTTGCCTCAGAATCACTCTGACTAGCATTCCATATTTTGTATTTTTATTCAGATTATAAACTGAATGTATATTTATATATATATATTTCTTTGTTTACATTGCATCATCACTCTCTCACTATCACTAATAAATTCACTTGATTCACCTTTTAGAAATTTCATCAGCATATATTTCATGTTCCATAATTATGGTAAATTATTTTTAATGTTGACGTATGAAAGCCCTGAAATATCAAAATACAAGTATATAATACTAATCACAACAAAATTATGACCAACTTGTAATTTTTATCAACTATGTAAATCAATAATAACACTGTACAGTTGATATCAGATAATTATCTCATTAACTTTCTCTTTCCTTGTCTCACTATTCATTTTCAAGCAAAATATCATAACACATGTATATGACCACACTGCAGCACTCATAAATAGAATTTGCAAAGATGCAAATGCCCATCAGCAGCAACCAGGAACAGATTTTGGAATGACGTAAATTCATGTCAGCTCTTGCAAATGAGGTAAGTGCATAGATACCTACTCCCCACATCAACCCCACTCCCGCCTCACCTGGGCTCCCTGTTCTTTCGCACCAGGCTGACAAATGTGTCGATCTCTGCTGCAGTGATGTGTTTTTCCAGGAGTTTCCGATTATTGTGGAGTAAGGCAGTGATCGTGTCTTCAGCCAACACATCATAGCCAATCTGCTTCTGCATGAAGCCAAACTGCTTCGCTATATACTCCTTTTAAGGAGAGAAAAGAGTAGTCAGCAGAAAGGATAATAGACAATAAGGTTAGGCTTAAAGTAAGGAAAGTAACAACATTTCCTGATGAGAACTACCACTCATAAAGGAAATTACATCAGAGTGGAACATCTTCCTACAACTTTCTTCCCTGGGGCAACAGCTGCAACCTCCTTCACATTCTTTTTTTTTTTTCTTTTTTTTCCACATTCTTTATTTTACTAAACATGCCACATAAATGTAATTAAGCAAAATATCATGTATTCACAAACTGATGTCTTATTAAGTACACAACATAAATTTTAGTCTAGTGGCTTATTCTTCTAAAAGGCCAAAAACTGTTTTTCACCTTTGAATATATTACTAATTCAAGAGGACTTAATTGTTCCCCATTGCTCTGTGTCGCTAAATCAACACAGAATAAGACTGCCTGGATTTTGGAACAATATTATCCTATTTTATTTTCTTTATCTGGGGTAAAAATATTCTTTAAAAAATCAACAGGCAAGCCAGGCTCAGTGGCTCAGCCTGTAATCCCGTGCCTTTGGGAGGCTGAGGTGAGTGGATTGCCTGAGCCCACGGGTTCGAGACCCGCCTGGGCAGCGAGACCTCATCTCTACAATAAATCAAAAAATCAGCTGGGCGTGGTAGCGCATGCCTGTAATTCCGGCTACTTGGAAGGCTGAGGCGGAAGGATCGCTGGAGCCCAGCAGGTCGAGGCTGCAGTGGCCAGAAGTGGCCACTGCACTCCAGTCTGGGCGACAGAGTGAGACTCCAACTCAAAAAAAAATCAACAGGTAGCAGAAAGTCAGGAATACCCAAGGTAATCAATCATATATACGGAACATATAAATATATCTATAGCTTCTGTCTTTTGGGAATAGACATCAATTCCATAGAAATATTTGTAAACTCAAGGAAACTTCTTACGAATAGTTGTTTCTATTCCAAGATATTCCCTAGGCTTGGGGTGGAAGGGTGGCTTGGGTGGAAGGAAGCCTCCCTAGGCTTTGGGAGACCAAGGCAAGAGGACTGATTGAGCCCAGGAGTTCAAGACCAGTCTGGGAAACACAGCAAGACCTCGTCTCTACAAAAAATAAAAAATGAAATAAGCTGGGCATGGTGGCATGTGCCTATAATCCCAGCTACTAAGAAGGAAAAGGCAGAAGGAATGCACGAGGCTGAAGCTACAGTAAGCCATGATTATTCCAATACATCCAGGCTGGGCAACAAAGTGAGACCCTGACTCCAACAACAACAACAAAAACAACAAAAACATATTCCCTGTTTGTTTGCTTGAAGTCCAAGTGGCCCTTGAAACTTGCTTTCGATTTTTCCTATTAATTCCTAAACCCTGGAAGCTATTCAGGATTAGCATGGTGGACAGAGGACATGTTTTTCAGTCTACACTCAGTGAGAATGCATTGTGGGAAATCATCATCTGCCAAGTGGCAGAGAATCCATAAACAACTAAGCAAAAATATTCAATCCACCCACCAAGAGCAAGAGGAACTGGTTTAGTTTCCTCATGCACAAGCAAAATGTCCTGACATACCCTATAGGCCTTGATGCATCCTCACATTCTGACTTCCCATCAGAGGATGCGAAAGAGGAGAATAAAATCTCTCTGGCACTATTTGAGTCAGATAACAATGCACTGACAGTGGATTTAAAGCAACCACAGCTTGCTAACAAGGTTACATTTCTAAAGCATTACTTAAGATAAACACTATCGTTATGACGACACAACAAAAATCCTTGACTACAAAGAAAAGTTTAAGTGTAAAGACCAGATGTAGTGGCAGCGAAGCCTTAAAAACAAAAGCTGTTTGTCCCACAAGGCAGGAATAGCTAACATAAAATGATTGGAATAAAGGTTAAAAGAAGCACCATTTTATACGCCTGCAGCACTTCATGTAGTATAGATTTTTTCAAACTCAGCATTACTAATACATGGGGCAGGATAATTCTTTGTTGTAGGGGGATGTCCTCTGCATTGCTGGTTGTTTAAGAGTATCCCTGGCCTCTACCCACTAGATGCCAGTAGCACCCCAAAGCTGTAATACTCAAAAGTGTCTCCAGACATTAGAAATGTCCTTTGGGGGACAAAATTACCCCCAATTGAGAACCAATGATGTAGCAACATAGTTCCTAGGTTTCCTTAGAATCTCAAAGTTGTTTGGAGCCTCATAGTGCGTGTGTTTGTATGTATGTGTATATATGTATACATATGTACACACAAATAAAAATATATACATATATTATGTATAATACATTTATGTATAACATGTACAAGGGAGGACGCCCAAAAGCTGAAATTTATTTCTAAAAAATTGTGTATTTATTCTTACACGTTTGAACTTCAGTAGTTTTCAAAGTACTCCTCATTTGATGCAATACACCTATTGAGATGCCTTTTCCACTGCTCAAAACAGTGTGTGAACGTGTCCATTTTGATGCCTTTTAGTGCTTCTGCCATTTTTTGTTTCACCTCTTCCATGTAAGTAAACCCTTTCCCCTTGAGGAACTTTTTCATCGGGGAAACAAAAAAAGTTGCTTGGGGCAAGACTGGGTAAATAGGGAGGGTGGGACATGGGGGTCATGTCATTGTTTTTTTTGTTTTGTTTTTTGTTTTGGATCAAAAACTGCTAAACACTTAGTGCAGTGTGGGCAGGCGCACTCAAAAATCACCCATTGTGAAATGGGAAATGTGTTGAAAGAATCTCCAAAAAATAATTCACTGAAGCCAAATGCAGCCTCCTACAACAATGCTAACTGGTACACTGATGCCAGTGGGTTCCTAAAACACTTACCTAGTGGGTGGAAGCCTGTTACTACAATGGCCCACCCTCCAAAAACTAATTCCGGGTTTTTGGGGGTTCCTCTTCATACATATGTATATAAATGATGACTTAGAATGTCAGAAAACATGAGCCAGAACCAAAAAAAAAAAAAAAAAGTTCTAGGCTAGGTATGGTGGCTCATGCCTGTAATCCCATCACTTTGGAAGGCCAAAGCAGGGGGATCACTTGAGCTCAGGAATTTGAGACAGCCTGAGCAACATAGTGTAACCTCATCCCTACAAAAAAAGAAAGAAAAAGTTCCCAGCAGAGATACCTCCATCATATGAAAAGGGACAGAAACGAAAGATTCTACTATGTCTTTAATATAAACACAAGGGATCATTTCACCCATGATCCTTAAGGGAATATTCCATAAAAACTACTATAAATGTATATGAACTCCAAAACAAAACCTCCTAGAAAGGTGACTGTGGAAGAGTAATTCCCCCATGCCTTTCTGAAGAATTCTGTAATACTATTCTTCCCAGGCTTGCAAACAGTCTGTGTTTCCTTTGCAAGAGGAAGCTTAACACTGAACTATTCTCTAGTCATGATGTAAATACATACATGACACTTAAAACTCATGGAGGAAGTACACAAACTTCAGGAAGAAAACTGATAATCATGACCCGACAATCCTTAATCCAACCTGGTTCTTCCTGTAGTCTTGCTGGGAGTGCCTTAGCACCCTGTAGCAGAGCCGGCAGATATGTCTGAAAGGGGCATGCCGCTGGTCCCCAAGCTCCTCTAGCCGAAGCATTGGGCCATCGCCACAGTCTGTAAATGGAGCCTGTAACAACTTGAAGATCTGTTTGTGGGAATAAAGAGCAAAAACTGCCATTACTTCATGGTTCCAAGGCTAACCCTCCATCTGAAAGTAACGCAAGCTTAAGGGTAGGTGGACTATGTAGGAGAGTTTTCTCTATCCAAACACAGCAATAACCTGAACACTGCATTCAGTCTATCAGCTGAGATTGGGTTCTCACTGAATTCAGTCCACCTGGATCTAACTGTTCCTCATATGTCTGACAGTACAATGCTTAGAGCACAGTGGTTAGGAGCTCAGTCTCTTTTAGAATCAGTAGATTCTAGGTTGAAGCCACATACCTTTATTGCTTCCTAGCAGTACAGACCACGTTCAAAGACAACTTCTGATTTCTCACCAGTAAAATGGAAAGAATAATCAATAACCAATATCACGACAGTGTTGTAAGGATAAAAATAGTAACTGTAAGCTCCGTAAGTACAGTGCCTGACACCAGTGATCAATGGAGGCTCCTGCCATTGAATCAATTATTTTAGCCCCTCAAGGAATTATTATAGAAATGAGTATGGGCATTAAGCCATAAGTCTATTGGGAAGTCATCACATGAAACAGCTGGACACAATTTATTCTTGGACTAGAAATCCTTGTTGAAACATGATGGATTGTTAATAAATTTTGTCTACCACAGAACAACAGGAGAAAGGATTCTCAAATTCCATGGAGAACTATGAGACATGTAATTAATGCTTCTCTTCTAGCTTTGATGGCCAGGAATTCCCATGCTAAGCTTGTGGGCCAATCTCTAGTAGGTTTACAGAACGATATGGTATGCATTTCACTTACCCTGGATTTGTCACTCTCTGCCTCTAATTTGTCTTTACACCAGTTTATTTACATTTATAGCAAATAATATCTCCTATGTTTTTCCTGTAAGCCACTACTCATTCTTTATGAAAAGATTTTATGGTGATTTATAGGGCACCCTACAAGAGCATACATAGGCCATCCTAGTTTATCAAATACTCCAAATCTCTCAAACACATGAAATAACCTTAAGGATACATCCACACTTTGTATTATTTTTAAGGAAAATAAAGTTGTCAACTTTCACATGATTGATATTCAACAAATGCAGTAAAAACTAATTGAACGTGACTATCTCAAATGCCTACTTTACTAAGTGAAAGTAGCCAATCTGAAAGGCTATATACTGTATAATTCCAACTATATCACATTCTGGAAAAGGCAAAACCATGGACACAATAAAAAGGTTAGTGTTGCCAAGGATTAGTGGGAAGGAAGGATGACTAGGTAGATCACAGATGATTTTCAGGGCAATAAAAGTACTCTACGATATTATAATGGTAGATATATGTTATCATAGATTTATCAAATCCCATAGAATATACAATCTCAAGAGTGAACTCTAAGATAAACTATAGACTTTGGGTAATAATAATGTGTCAATGTAGGTTTATCAACTGTAACAAATGTACCACTGTGGTGAGGATATTGACAGTAGGAGAAGCTGTATGTATTTGGGGTTGGGGGCATATAGGGTCTCTTTTGACTTTTCACTCAATTTTGCTGTAAACTTAAAATCACATCAAAAAACAAGGCCTATTTTTAAAAAATCAACTGATCAGGACTTCCAGGTGGAAATGGCTAGCATTTCTCTATAAAAACAGTGACCCTTTTGATTTCTTATATAGCCAGCACCCCTACATCAGATCTCACCAACCTGCTTGAGAATGTTCTGTTCTCTCATTAGTTTCTGCCGTTCTCTGTTTGGCTTGGAGAAGACCACTTCAAGCACATCTTGACCAGAATTTGTTCCACCGGTAACAAAGTAAACCAAGTCTTCCAGCAGCTTTGTTACAGACCTTAGGAAGGGAAAAGATTTAGAGACAGAAGTGCTCAATGTCCAATAGTCTGGAAGTTTTGCCTTGGATGCCTTCTGGACTAACAAATCAGTTAAACAGGAGTAGACCCATTCTTCCCAATTTCCTTGAAACTGACAACCAAGGCCAAGTACCAAAAAGAGAAATACAGAAAACATACAATTGTCCACAAAAGGATGATCACCTTCACAAAACATCAGTCATCAAATTTTATCTCAGGGTAGCCTCATCCCCTGACATTTAGTAACACAGTTTCAGAGACCAAGTTAGAGAGAGAGAAAGAGACAGATCTTTACAACTTTGGAGACTCTCAGAAAAGTGAATGCAAAAATAGTATTTCTTGAAAACTACAAATTGAAGTTATCCACAAATGCTAAGGCCTGCCACCTTCACATGCAGCTGTTAAGAGTTGACATTCTCTCACTCTGCAAGGGATGCTAGAAACATGCAGTGGATAAGGAAGGCTGTGCAGCGCATGAAGTGTGCTTACCTTCTTTCATTCTGGGTGATGGTACCCTTCTCCAGCTTCCCAGCAATGGAACCCAGCACTTTGCTGGCATCATTGGCAAAGTCTAGGTCCCGAACTTCAGCAGGAGAAACTGGAACAATGGCAAATGCTTCTTTATCCTCTTTCACAGGAGAGGTGCCGATCTGAAATTTGAGGTGGGTTTTTTAAGATAATCTCTTTGACAAAGAGGGTAAGACATTAATCAAACAATATATTTATGGGACGTTGGGCAATCCAAAGATATGCTATCTTGCAGTTAAGATGACACAGAAAAACATCTAGAAAGGTGTACTCCAAATGGTCAACAGTTGTTATCTCTGGAAATTGGTATTATGGCAATATACCTGAGGCAGGAAAGGATGCACTACTGTCACTTTATAACTTCAGTTGTTAACAGGCACATGTAAGATTCTTACACTTCTTATAAATGTGTGCAACAAAAGCAAATACAGACAATGGTAATTATTACCTCTGTGGAGAGTATTATAAGGATACTCACTATCCTTTCAACTCTTGTATAACCCTGAAAATGTTTATAAAAGCAGAAAAAAATTTTGATGACTTTCCCCATCACCACAGCAAAAGTTATGTGAGAGTATCCTTCCACTTTTTAAAAGAAAACCCCATGTGTGTACATTTATGCTCTATGTTCCTAGAGACAGTGGGGAGGAGGGGAGAGAAAGTAAAGAGGCTAGGAGAACTTTCACAAGATCAATGTGTATATTGAAATACACAAAGAAAACAGAAATAATAAAGATTGGAGAAAATCAACTAGATAGTTGATATACCTTGAGGCACAAGCAAACACCCCCCCCACACACACACTGCCAGCCAAAATCATCCTTCAGACAGTCATGAAATCCAGACAATTGCTCAACCATTAGGCCAGAAGTCATGAAATAAAATAAAAGGGTTTGGTTATTTCAAAAGCCCTGAACTTACTTCACCTAGGTCCCTTGAAGAGAATTATTTCCTTGCATTTAAGTATGTCCATGACCACATTCTTGCCAAAGCAACAAAAACTTTATAGCTCCCTACTCCCCAACGTGTCCTCAAAGGAGCCCTTTCATTAGGGAATATGAGACCAATAAGAGATAGCCAAGTTCCGGGACTTACTTTCAGCATCACGGGTTTTTCCTCTTCCTTGTCAATAGGAATATTTGTGCTATGAACCCAGGTATTAGTACACAGGTGTCTGAGGCGAACGTAAGAGTTTCTAAACAGAAAAAATGGAAAGTTTTACGAACAGAAATATTTAGGTTTCCTCTACAGCCACTGGTCTATGGTATACTCTATCAAAACAGAAAAGAATACAAAAATGGTTTCCCTATACATATGAGGGGGACCCAAAAAACCTGGAATTTATTTATAAAAAAAAATTATGCATTTATTTTTACATGTTTAACTTCAGTCATGTTCAAAGTACTCTCTATTTGATGCAACACACCTATTGAGTCACTTTTCCCACTGCTCAAAACAGTTTTTGAACTCGTCATTTTGATGTCTTTTAGTGCTTCTGCTGTGTTTTATCTCACCTCTTCCACACTGGGCAAAATGTTTTCCTTTGAGGACTTTTTTCATCCAGGGAAACAAAAAAAGTCACCAGGGTGAGATTGGGTCAATAGGAAGGTTGGGGTAACAGAGATCATGCTGGTTTTGGTCAAAAACTGCTGAACACTCAGTGTGGTGTCATAAATCACCCATCATGAAATGGGCAAACACATTCAAAGAATCTCCAAAAAAAATTATCTGAAGCAGAATGTGGCCTCTTGCAACAATGCTAGCTTGTACACTGATGCCAATGGCTTCCTAGGACACTTACTGAGCGGGAGAAGCCTGTACTACAGGGAGCTTGGCCTTCAAAAACCAATTCCAGTTTTTTGGGAATCCCCCTCTCATACACTGGACAATAAAACCTTAGGAGCAAACGGTTCCAGTGCAAGTCACATTTTGATGCATCTACAATACAAAATCATTCATAATGACTCTTAAGATTATTGTCATATGCAATATTTCTAAATATAAGATGATATTCTGTGAATGAGGACCTCAGCACAAAATAAGCAATTAGAAGTACTTACTGAATGTACATTAGTGCTTATCATGAAAGGCAAAACAATTAAAGTTTTTACATGGATCAATAAAGCAAAAAAATTAAATCACAAAATTCCTGGAAAAAATGAGTATGTATTGATCTTGTGATAAGAAAAGCCTTTTGAACCAATGTGACAAAATACAAGATTCCTCAAATTTAAAAGTAAAAGATGGATAAATATTATTACACAGTATAAATTTTATATTATCTGTACAGCAAAATACATGTAGTACAAAATACACACACACACACACACACACACACACACGGTGCCAAAAAATGTATACATATTTTTAAAAAGGAAAAAACTCTATTAAAATTGTAATACTATCAATAAGATGAATACAAGTTACATTTGACTTCTGCAATTACAAGAGGTGCTCATAGTGGTTACCATCAGCATCCAGAAACTTCTGATTACAGCGAACATCTCTTAAAATGTGTATACATTTTTTTTGGCACCCATGGGGTGTGTGTGTATGTGTATTTATGTAAAACAAAGCTGAGGAAAAAACCTAGCCTGGGAAAATAAGAGTAACACATAGTATAAAAAATGATATTAACCCACACATATAAAGAACTCTTACAAACCAATAAGAAAAACATTAATATTAAAAATGAAAATGGGACAAGAACATGAACCAGTAATTTAATAATGAAATACAAATGGCCAATAAATGTGGAAGTATACATTCAACCTCCTTAGTACACCATTTACACAAATTAAACAAAGTATCACTTTATTGTATCTTATTCCAAAGATCTTAAATACAGATAAATCCAGTATCAACAAGAGCATAGAGAAATGAGTTCTCTTGTGCATTGGTAGTGAAAGTGTATAATCTGGAAAGCAGTCGGATATTTTGTATAATACATAAATGTATCTGTCCTTTCATCTAGCAATCCCATTTCTGGATGTTTTTCTTTGAGATGACAGCACAGGTACAACATAAGTCACAAAGATGTTCAACAAATCATTATTTAAATTAGTAGAATATTGCAAACAATCCTGGCCGGGCTCGGTGGCTCAGCCTGTAACCCCAGCACTTTGGGAGGCCAAGGTGAGTGGATTGCCTGAGCCCGCGGGTTTGAGACCCGCCCAGACAACTTGGCAAGACCTCGTCTCTACAATAAATAAAAAAAATTAGCCGGGCGTGGTAGCACGTGCCTGTAGTTCTGGCTACTTGGAAGGCTGAGGCAGAAGGATTGCCGGAGCCCAGCAGGTCAAGGCTGCGGTGGCCAGAAGCATGCCACTGCACTCTAGTCTGGGCGACAGAGTGAGACTCCAACTCAAAAAAAATTAAATTAAATTAAAAATAAAAAATAAAATAAAATAAAAAATTGTAAACAATCCAGTCTCAATAATGGACTAGTTAATTATAGTGTATACAAGAGAATGCTACACTGCTATTTAAGATAGTGACATTTGATATTCAATTACCTGGAAAGATGTTTAAAATATACCCTACCTTAAACCATATGTAATATGATCTCAAAGTAAATTTTAAAACCTATGAGTAAAGAACAAAAACTATGAAACTCGTAGTAGAAAACATTACCATAAGTCTTTGCAACCTTGAGGTAGGCGATAATTTCTTAGGTAAGAAACCAAAGGGGTAAACAATCAAAGGAAAAAAATAGACAAACTGGACTTCAGAAGACAACACCAAGAAAATAAAAAGACAACAAAATGAAGAAAAATACTTGAAGTCATATATCTTACAAGGTGCTTGTATCTAGAAGAAAATTTATGAATCAATAGTAAAAAGACAACTCCAATTTTTTTAAATAGGCAAAAAATAATGGGCAAAGGATCTGAATAGATATTTCTCCAAAAAAAGATATATGAACAGCTAATAAGCACAAGAAAAGATGATAAAAATCATCAGTCATCAGGGATATGCAAATCAAACCACAACAAGATACCACTTCATACTAATTAGAATGGCTCAAATAAAAGGCAATGACAAATGTTGGATAGAATGTAGAAAAATTAGAATGCTATCATACACTGCTGGTAAGAATGTAAAATGGTGCATCTACTTTAAGAAGCAAACTGGCAGTTCCTCAAAAGGTTAAACATTGAGTTACCATATGACCCAGCAGTTCCACACTTAGGCACAGACCCAAGAGAAATGAAAACATATGTCCACACAAAAATGTGTACAAAATGTTCACAGCAGAATTATTCATAATAGTCAAAAATTACAAACTACCCAGATGGCCATCAACTAATAAATAGATACATAAAATGTGACATTATCCATACAATGTAATATTACTCGGTAATAAAATGACATTAAGTACTGATACAACATGGATGAATCTTGAAAACAAAACTAAGTGAAATAAACCAGTCACAAAAGACCAAATAACCTGTGATCCCATTTATATGAAATGTTCAGAATAGGCAAATCAATAAAAACAGAAAATAAAAGAGTCTAAATCTGGGTGTAGTATGTGGGGAAATGAAAGTGACTACCAATGGGTATGATGTTTCTTTTTTAGGGTGATGAAAATGTTCTAAAATTGACTATGATAATGGTTGTCCAAAGTCTACTAATCTTACTAAAAAAGTCATTGAGTCAAGCAAGCACTTTAAGTAGTTGGCCTGTATGATATAGGAATTATATCTCAATAAGACTTTTTTTTTTTTTAATTAAAGAGGCAATCTAAATCAGGGGTTTCAAATCTGAAGAATATAAAAACTGTGTCTACACTTGGGATGTGCTGGGAGAACATCTCTAGCTATCCTCAGATTCTAAAGGGGTTAACAACCCAACAGAGTTTAAGAACAAGTGACCCTGGTACCAAATGGCAATGAAAGACCTTCTTGGGCTGTAAGGTTCTCACCCCTGTGGGCACTGCCTTGCAGTTATCACTCTGAGAGTGACAGAAATAGCACCCAGCCCAAGACAAAGTTCTTCGTGAATTCTGATAGCACCAAAGCTGCAGCTGTCAGCTTCATAGCCTGGCTCAGGCTGAGTGGTGAAGTAGTGATATATACATGAATAATTAAACATAACGTAATACTCAGTGAGAGGGGCCAAATGTAAAATCCACAAATGCCAGTGAGATACTCCACTAACCAACACTGTGTAGAAGAATCAGAATTGTCCAAACAACTCTAGCAGTCTTAAACATTTAAGATTTTGAGTTCTGCTGCAGGATTCACTGACTTGTGATAAGTAGCAAAGACTCTTGGAAACTCAGTTTCTTTAGGAAAGGATGGATAACAATACCTAACTCACAAGGTTTTTTTGTGAAGATGAAATCATATAACATAAGTGAAAGTACTCAGTATTGTGCCTGACATGTAGTAAGCACTCAATAATGTCAGATATTATTAATATTGTTGTCAACTTTCTTGTTCAGAATAAGCTTTTGTTCTACTTATAGTTCAGTTAGTTCCTCCTCCAAAAATGCATTCTTAGGCAACAAAACTAAAAGTTCCATTTAATAAAATAATCAAAGAATACTGGCCTGGCTTCTCAATACTTTTAATAAAATTTACTGTGCACACAGTGAATTTCAGGTATTTCATTTTCTAGAATTTCTTTTCTATTGTTTATCCCCAGGTTTGGGGAAGGAGGAACAAACTAAAGGAAATTAGGAATACTGACCTACTTGGGCTTAATTTGGCTTGTTTACCAGATATGGCACTTCTTACCCACCTATTGAGAACTTATCATTGGTGAGCCACAAATAAAATAAAATAAAATAAAATAAAATTCCATATCAGGCAGCCAGTCCAAATCCTTCCCAAGAATTTAAAGAAAGGGCAATCATGGTTTGGATTCCAAGAAACATGGTTAGGCCACATATTCCAGTCCTGATTCTCTTAGGATAAGTAGTTTTGAAATCATACCTTGGGACAAGGCTGTCACCTCCGCGGAGAGTGGTGGGGTCTAGCTCAAAAATGGAGGAGATATCATTGCCTTCAGGCACAGAGACCAGGGAATACACCATCTTTTCTTGGGCATTTCGCAACCTGCTTCGAGATGCATCCTGATCAGGGTCGACCTGAAGAGGAAAAGTCATCAAATCAAGAATCCTGCACACCAAACTCTTTGCTCCCTACAATTATTCCACAATCCACAGGAACAGAGAAGAAGCGATAGTCAATGTCAGCAGTTGGCAGGAAAAGGACCACAGTTTCAGAACAGTTCTATTAGATGATAATTGGCCACCCTAGCCAGAAATATTTACTCTCTGCCTCCTGGAGTTGCAATAAAAATGTCTTAACAATGTGGAGTTACAATAATAGATGTCCATAGAAAGGCTGTTCTGGGTAATAAAGCACTCCACACAGCTACATCCATTTGCAGGAGCTGGGGGAAAGGGAATGCACCTTGAAGAAACTTACCCTGTGGATATGGTTAGGGGTAGCTGTGCTAATCTACAGTGATAACTGTCTGCCGACAATATGATACAGCTACTTCCCAGAAGAAAAAAATAAACATGAGTCCAAGTGTTTGTAAGCAGCAATCCCAGTGCAGTCAAAAAAAAAAAAAAAATTGAGAGGTCAGCCTAGCCCCAAAAGGAATGTCCATAATTAATCAGGAAGGCTGCTGATGACAACTCAGGGAAGAAGGCCTCTCCTGTGGCACCAGGGATTCGGCTGAGAATGAAGAAAATCTCTGACAGGGAAGGCTGATGAACTATGATGAAAGCTTTCCTAAGCAACTGGAAAAGCACATTCTAGGCTCCAAAGTCCATCTGCCTGAGGAGATTTAAGGAGAGGTTTTAGACCAGGCGCCTACTCTGAAAGGCTTTGCCAGCTCGCTCTCAGCGCTGTGACGCCACAGGGATTATTTTCAATGTCTAACATCCGTGCAGAATGACAACATCCACCTGCATTTGCTGGGGAAACCACATTTTCTTTGTCACTATGGCGTGCTTTTCTCAGGTTGAAGCACTGCCTCCTTTCCAAATGGGGAGGAAGGAGACTTCACCAGGAAGACAAAACAATCAAGAAAAGGAAATCCTATCAGTGGCAAAGTGGAAGACTTGGGCAAATATAACCCCATGAGACCCAGGATGCAGGAACACAAGCAATATCCAGTAGCTCCAACCTCTGTCTGTATGTTAAAAAAAAAAAAGACAAAAGTTCTTTTAATACCCCGGACTTCTGTCTCCTCCCTCCCTCCTGCTTTCTCCTCTAATAACTTGTACCCCCACCTAAACAAACCCTAACCCTTTATCCTACCTATGCTAAAGTAAGACGAACTTCAGAGCGACAGAACACCTCTCCAACCTCAGTTCAGGAGAAAAAACTCTGAACAACATTTGTTCTCTCCTAACCACCTGGCGGAGTATGCCACACACCACTTTCAAAATAAGCTCTGATCGGCTTCTGGCTGGAGACACAGGGCTCAGTTACAGGCTGGCAATGACATTTCAGAGACCTGCGGGAAGTCTAGAGGAAAATTATGATTGCATTAAGTCCACCGTAACCGGAAATGTGACTGAGTAACAGTGTCCTCACATTCTTTCAGTGTGCAGTCGACGTTTGCCACCTAGTGGGAAGAAAGACACATGTGCAAAAGTCCGGGGAATGAGAGCGAGGCTCCGGTTGTCCTTTTTCTCCCTCTGCTGAATTTAGAAGGACAAGCACAACCAAGCTGAACGACGTCTGAGGCATCAATGCCAGTCTCAGGGAGACCAATGAGCAGGGCAAAAGAAGGGTCTCCCTCCCCCAAACTTTAACAACTCTAGGTTTTCCAGCCAAGTTTCCAGGCTGAGAAGAGAGTGAGGGGTACAGTGCCCTTCAAATATGAACACTTTGCCCACAAATCTGGGCTGCTGGCCTCGTGTGTACTGGGTAGCCCTCTACCCCCACCTCGTCCACACACCCCTCCTTTGCATGCAGACCACAGTCTGAGCAACATCAGAGTAGCCAGAACAATGCAGTCTGGTTCTGCATCCAAGCCTGCTGGCACATCTGCCTCCCTGGCATGAAGAAGCATGAAAACGCAGAGAGACCACTAAACTCCCGAAGAGATGTGAGATGAGTCAGGACCACTCTCAGTGGAGGTTTCCTCCTCTGTCAAATGGAAACTGTAAAAACTGTCCTAATTCCTATCATACAGCTGTCATGCAGCCCAGGTGACCTGATAGACGCAAAGGCACTAAAAATGTTAATGATCTTAGACAACTTTTAAAAAGTTACTTGTCCAGACAAAGCAATTGAGGCTCAGGTTGGGTGTGGAGGCTCACACCTGTAATACCAGCACTTTGGCAGGCGAAACCAAGAGGATTGCCTGAGCCCAGGGGTTTAAGACCAGCCCGGACAACTTGGCGAGACCTCATCTCTACAAAAAATTAAAAAATTGACCAGGCGTGGTGGTTCTGGTTACTTAGAAGGCTGAGGTGGAAGAACTACCTGAACCTAGAAGGTCGAGGCTGCAGTGGCCATCATGCCATTGCACTCTAGCTTGGGTGACAATGAGACTCTGACTAAAAAAAAGAAAAAAGGAATTGAGGCACAGAGAGGGAAAGTAACTTACCCAGGGTCACACACATCATAAGTGGTAGAGCTGTAATTTAAACCCAGGTCTGTCTTTGCTCTCCCATCCTGCTTTTTCTGCTCATTAAGCTTTTTCTACTGCACTGCAAGACTGCCAGTCTTCCTTCACATACTGCAAGGCAAGGAGAGAAGCCCCATATCCCCCAGAGTACAAGGTTCACTTGGACATCAGCTCTTCTGAAATAAGCCCCAGCTTGCCTAATCTCAGAGGTGAGACTTGCCCTGTGCTGCCTCAGATGGCAGCACTGAGACCACTGGATGCAGGCCACACAGAGGCCCCTCCTTCTCTTGAAATAAAGAAAGTTCAAGGACAAAATCCGTCTTATGAAACATGCCTTTGCCAGTCCAAGTGTTCAAACAATAACTAGATGAACACAACGCAGAGAGGTTTACAATCGAGTTTCTCATGAAACTAGTTCTAGTTTCTAGTTCAACAGAAAGTTGAACTAGATCAGTGTTTTCCAAGCCATATTAACTGAAGAGAAACCTTTTGAAATGGACTCCAGAAGTAAGGGTTCCTGGGATGAAAAGAAGAGCAAGGAGCAGAAAAGGTTAGCTTCCCCAGAAAGTCCACAAATCAACAGTAAAAAAGCCTCAGCCAGCATGCTTCCAAGTTTCCTTCAAAGTTAACATTCTACCCAAACATAACTAGAAGGATCACTGAGACTGCAGAATTCGCAACACTTTCCAAGGACAACTACCAGTTTGAATTCTCTCCACCCCAATTCCCTTCACTAATGTGCCTGCTGTAAAGTCTCTCTGATTTTTTCAAAAATTTACTGAAAAAAAAAGACAAGAAAGAAAGAAAGATATATCCTCAATACCACCTACCATATCCACAACTGAGACCATCACATAGACATACATGTCAAGTAGAGCAGCAACAGTTTGGGGGCTTCATTCCACAAGAGCACCGTTTTACTTATACCCATCATTTCTGTGTAACACAACCACTGTCTTCTTCAACCATAACTATGGACACCTGAACCTCAAGTGCCTACCTATCAGCATTACTTGGCAATATAATCTCCAGAGAAAGGTCCATTTTGCATTAAAACTCCAAAGAACATTATACACTAAAGCCAATTCCTGACTTAGCAAAAGTAAGAATGGATAGTCAGACTTTTGAGTGTCTAACCAGATGCCAGGTGCACCATGACCCATGTGTTATCTCCACAGTCTCAAGTGACACTATCCACCTCACATGCCTTCCCCTTGAAAAGCTGAGTGAGTCTTAGATTGGAGTCAACAGCAATAAGATAATTGTCTGTAAAAGGCCAGCTTCTACATGGGCTGTCACTGGCTCCAATCTAGGAGTACTTCAAACAATATATGAACTTCTCCAACTGAGAGTTGAAGACTACTTGACCAGGCACACAGAAATAGCATTATGATCAACAGTCTCTTGGATCAATCAGGACACAAAGGGATATGATTCCCCTCAAGATCACAAAACATGACCCTCTTTTAAAGTAGCCTAAGGTTTCTCCTTCCCCAGCGCTCAACGACCTCAGTGACAGTTTCTTAAATGGCGTTCCAGATCATTTGGCCTCATCCTACCAGATGAAGACAAGAAGGCTCTTGTCCATACTTACTGAGGGCTGAAACTCCAGGCATTCTTCCTCAAAGTCAGGGTCTACCTGATGAAAAAGAATCATTAGGAAATTAAAACATCCATTGCTTTCTCAAGGACTGGATCCCACTTACAGGAGACTTCAAAGCCAGCAAACATCCTCGAACAGCAAAGAACTTGTCCCTTCCCTCTGTTCACAAAACCAGCATGCCACAACAATGACACATGTCACACAAGTACAACACATATGGAGTCTACCAGTTACCATTAAATAGCTCTCAAGTGTAGACAGAGGAACACAATGAACTCACTAGCAAAGAAATAGTTAAAAGCCTGAGACAAATAAAAGATCAATACACAGTCATTGATAATCCTGTTAATTCTTAGTTAAAAATAAAAAAATAGGCCTCCAGCAAGAGCTACATTAACCTCAAAACATGACAGATAGTGCAAACACCGTTAGTCTTTGGCAAACCACATAAATCAACATTTTTCACAGCTGATTAGTTGGTTCCCTAATTCTCTATGGCTCCATCTTAAATTTGAACTTAGACTTCTTGATCTTCCATTTTTAAATATTTCAAAATCATCTGCTCATACAAGTATCAGGGACCCCAGAGAGTTGAACACATTTAGATTCAGCATTCCTATGGTCAGTTGCTGAAGCAGTTCTGACACCCACTGTCACCTTGCAAATCTCTGTGCAGTCTCCCAGTGGTACCAGATTTTTGATGTATGACTAGAATCTGATATAAATATGCATCATACATCTTCCAGCAGATCAGAGTAAAACTCAACATCTGTCCCACAGTGGGGTGGCTCCTTAATTCTATAAAAAATTAAAAGGTAAATCCCTCCTGTCCTTCAGCAATGTGTCTCTCCTGTTCTCAAAAACGTTTCACAGACATTTAAGGTGAAGTTAATTTCAGTGGTTTTTTTGACATTCCAATGAGTGGGAGATAAGCCCCTGTCTATTCTACTAATGCTTTGAGTAATCAAGCTCTTTGTAAAATTGTCTGACTCTTCACATATCTTAATGCTTCCAACTTGCCACTGCAGCTGAGCCTCAGTCCCTCGTGGTAGGAGAGGAGCAGGTAGACAAGGTATGGGGAGGGCGAGTACATAAGAGCAAAGAGGAAGATAACCCTAAAAAATCTAGACTGGCATTATTTTCTTTCTCCCCACATCTTGTTGAAAACCCTCTACTGAGTATTAAAATGTGGTAATTGTTTTTGCCTCTTTTTTAGAAGAATGAAGCAGAAAAAACAGAACAAAAGAAGGTAAGTATGGAGACTATTTCCCTAAGCCTTTAACTACCAAATGGCGACAGGAGAATGAGAAAAGGTGGTTAGGTGCATTGGCCTTAAAAGAGAAAACACAAGGGCTGCCACTTACCTCTGCTGCTAAGTAATGCCCCGTGGCCAGGTGCTTGAAACGGAAGAGGCTGTTCCAATACCCAGCTCCTCCCCGACATGGGTCATGTTGCACCACCTGCAAGAAGAATGATCAGCAGGAGTGGAAGAAAAGTCAACCCATACTATGACAATACTGAATCCAAGACATCACAAGTCATAGTTCAGGAGTAACAAGCTGGGAAAAAAATCAGCATCTTGCAACAAGCCCACTGCGAGTGTCCTATGTGACATCCAAACTCAAACATAAATAATGTCTCTTTAAAGAAAGAAGAGTCTCCTAGTTAACATGCAATGGCTGGAGTAAAAACCTCAATAGGTTTTGGCTTATTTGCCTTAATTATAATGAAGTAGAAGATTCTGAAATGTATCCACAAAAAGCATAACTGATAAAAAGGAATTTTATAGCAAACTGTTGAAGCAATCTACACATGTACTCATGTGCTGGAACATACACACAGGCCTGTGCTCTGAAACATGAACTCACAGAGTCTGGGCCAATTTATCATAAAAATAAATGTCACGTCAGCTTCTGGCCATGACAGTATAACTGGCACTGGTACTGGTGTCATAAACAATCAGACATTGTACAGAATAGTTGATATTGCCATAGGCAACTAGAAAGCTGGATAAAATATATGAAACAACCGTGTTCGCGTGTTGGACTACAGGCAGTGCATGGCTATGAGCTCAGAGAACAGGGAAACGGACAAGGCAAGCTACCCTATTGTTCTGGTTTTCTACCCAGGGGTCTTCCATGGTCAGCAGCACAGGGAGTAAGAATCCACGCTGAGAGCACTGGGCTCACAGAATTAAGGAGACAGATCAGAGTTTCGGGAGACTGAGGTGGCTAGAATTTGTAGGGGCAGAATGCTGGAGCATATGGAGCAACATAAAAAATACTCCAGAAATCTGCACAGGACTCTCAAGTTTTGGCTGAATATCAGACTCCATATGCATAAGCCAAGGCCAAGTAAACACCAACGTGGGAACTGAAAGCTCAGAGTTCCCAGAGTTCACAGAGCTGGGAGGTGTACTGATTCTTGACAACGCAGAGCAGAGCAATCCTATGAAACACCTAGGGGACTAATGGAGGTGACAAAAGGGTTCCACCTCAGAAGTAGGGCTAATACAGCCTCCAAGTTAAAGCTATACTCCTACCTAATGAAGCTTGAAAACAAGCCTCCAAAGATCAAACTGATTCATAAGTAACTTTACTATCTAACAAAATAGAATTCAATATTCTTAAAAGGAACAACAGATCCCAGACACTCAATAAACTAGTGTTACAACGTTCAGTAAATAACCATAAAGTACTAGGCAAAGAATCAGGAAAACGTGACTCATAAACTCAGTGATCTGTCAGACAACATAAAATGATCCGGCATGGGTCTAAGTGAGCTAGTGGGGGTAGGAAAATTATTTGAGACATAATGACCCAGAGTTTTCCCATTTTGATACATACCTATATATTCAAGCTAAATGAACTCCAGTAGGAGAGATACACACACAAACACGCACGCACACACACACCCCAAGGCACAATATAACCAGATTAATAAAAATCAAAAATTAAAATAAAAAAAATCTTTAGAGCAGCAGGTAGGCAGAGGGAAGGGCTCTATATATAAGGAAAAAAGATTGTTAAAACTCACTGAATTCACATCGAAACCATGCAAACCAAATGATAGTGGATCAAAATTTTTAAAAATACAGAAAGGAAAAACTACATACCTAGAATCACATATCCAACAAAAATGAAGCCCACACAGAAAAAGTAGAACCCTGAAACACTTCTGGTGAAAATATAAAATGATGCAAACTACTTTGGAAAACAGTCTCACAGTTCCTCAAAAGATTAAACATAAAATTACTATATGACCCACAATTCTACATGTCCACACAAAAACTTGTACATGAATTTCATAGCAGCATTATTTACAAGAGTCAAAAAGTAAAAACAATACAAATGCTATAAATAAATGGATAAACAAAATATGGCATATCCACACATTAGACTAGTATCTTGTAATAAAAAGAAATAAAATACTGATTCATGCAGCAACATGAATGAACTTTGAAAACATGATCTGTTATGGTCTGAATGTTTGTGTTCTCCCAAAATTCATATGTTGAAACCAAACCTCTGGGTTATGGTACAAGAATATGTCTCTGGGAGGTGACTAGGGCATGGATAGAGTCCACATGAATGGGATCAATGCCCTATAAAAGAGACCCCAGAGAGCTCCCCAGCTCTCTTTCCATCACGAGGACACAGCAAATGAACCAGGAAGAGGCCCTCACCAGACACTGAATCTGCCAGTGCCATAATCTTGGACTTCCAGCCTCCAGCACTATGAGAAATACATTTCTGACGTTTATAAGCCACTGGTTTATGATATTTTCTTACAGCACCCCGAGTTGGACTAAGACATTATCCTAGGTGAAAGAAGTTATAAATAAAGGGCCACATTTATAGGATTCCATTCATTCAAAATGCCCAGCATAAGCAAATCTATAGAGATAGAAAGTAAATGAACGTCCAGGGCAGGAGGGTGGGAGGAAATTTAAGGGGAAATAGGGGTGATTGCTAATGAGTACAGGGTTTCTTTAGAGATGATAAAAATGGTCTAAAATCTATTGTGGTAATCTGTTGTGGTAATGGTTGCACAACCGTATAAAGCTACTGAAAACCACTGAATTGTATACTCTAAATGTGTGAATTGTGCAGTACGTGAATTATGCCTCAATAAAACTATCATTTTTCAAAAGGCAAATAAACAGATTTTTAAATGAAGGTGAAATAAAGATATCCTCACATAAATGAGTTAAGAGAATTTGTCATTGGCAAACATATGCTACAAGAAATGACAAAGGAACTGAAGAAATTAGACCAGAAGAAGACTTGGATCTACACAAGGGAATGAAGAGCTAGGAAAAACTACATAGTTAAATATAAAAGACTACAGTTCTTCTCATTTTTACATGTTTTTAAAATATAAGTGACTGTTGGAACAAGGTAAAATAAATAAAAATACACTGTGGGGCTTATAACATGTAGAAATAAACTGTATGACAATAACAACACAAAGGAAAGGAGGGCCAATAGAAGCACACTATAATAAGGTTCTTATGTCACAGATAAACAATTTGGTATTATGGAAAGTTGACTGGCAGCTTATAATGTCAACCCTAGGTCACTACCAAAAATATAAAATACATGGTGCTGCCTTCCTTCTTGTATTTTGAAAGGGCATCTAAGTTTCCAGAATTTGCAACAACAAAAAAAAGCATTTAAAAAGTGAGACAATCAATGTTGTCACAGGAAATTCAGAGAGAAAACTGGCAGGAAACAACCTGGCAGGAGTAAGAATTCGACTGCTGTTTTTTTCTCAGAGGGGAAAAAAAAAATAGAAAATGCTCTAGTGTAGACTTTTGCTTTTAAGCACTTACATTTTTAGAAGTCTATACCTCAAAAACTCGCCTTAAAAAGTCATCATCTTGTATCCATTTCAGCCAATGGTGAGAGAATAAAACATTGTACCTGCTTTTAAGGTACTAAAATCAGCCACAGTGACTCCTGTGGGGTTTTCACATTTATTCATTTTTCAATTTATGATAGCACATTAAAGCAAGGTACAAAGTGTTTACAAAGCAATGTCAATTCTGCAAACATACCCTGTTCATAGAAAAACAGCTCAATGGAAGTGGACACATTAAGTTAGTGAAATGACAGTTTACTTCTTCCCTTATTTTCTTGATTTCTCCATTTTTCCTTAGTTTACACTTATTACTTTAAATTGACTTGGGAAGATGAGAAAGTCTCTCTCTTTTTTTGCACCAGTATCCAAATTACACAGGAGAAGTGATTCTTAGAGACTATTTCAAATGTATAAAACTCTGTAGTGGGAACAATGAGGGCATCAATGATCAATGACAACAGTTAAGACTAAGTTCTAACTCTCAAGGAGTTTATAATCTAGAAGAAATGATGGTGCCCCTATGTAGACACGTACAATAACTAAAGAGAAAATTCTACAATGTAGAGAGAAGGAGGGAAAGGGGAAAATGGATAGAGGATAGAAATTAACAAAAACTTTTCATCATGACAACTAACTTGTCTATATAATGAGCAAAATGAACTTGATTATCACAACATCCATGTTAAAAGAGTGGCAAGACAATTTTTAAATGGACAAAATATCTGAACAGACATTTTTCCAGGGAAGCTACACATACAGCAAATAAGTACATCAAAAAAAGTTCAACATCATTAGCTGTAAGGGAGATGCTAATCAAAACCACAATGAGATTTCACTATATAACTAATTTAAATGATTAACAGTGAAAAGACTAACCATACCACATGTTAGTAAGGATATAAAAGAACTGGAATTTTTGCCGGGCTCGGTGGCTCAGCCTGTAATCCCGCGCCTTTGGGAGGCTGAGGTGAGTGGATTGCCTGAGCCTGCGGGTTTGAGACTCGCCTGGGCAGCAAGACCTCATCTTTACAATAAATCAAAAAATCAGCCGGCGTGGTAGCGCATGCCTGTAATTCCGGCTACTTGGAAGGCTGAGGCGGAAGGATTGCCGGAGCCCAGCAGGTCGAGGCTGCGGTGGCCAGAAGCGGCCACTGCACTCCAGTCTGGGTGACCGAGTGAGACTCCAACTCAAAAAAAAAAAAATTAAAAGATTCCCATCTCAAAAAAAAAAAGAACTGGAATTTTCATATATTACTGGTAGAAACATAAAATGGTCCAATCACTTCAGAAACCAGTCTGGCAATAAACATACACCTACCATGTGATCCAGCTATTCTACTCCTAGCTATTAAGCCAAGAGAAACAAAAGCTTGTATCCATACAGAAACTTGTATAAAAATGTCCCTAGTAGCTTTATTTGTAATAGACAAAACTTGGGAATTACTCAAATGTCCATAACAGGTGAACAGATTAACAAATTGTGGTATATCCATATGATGGAATACTATGCAGGATGATAAAGAAATGAACTATTTTGATACAAGCAAAAACATAGATGAATCTCAAAATAATTATGCTGAGTGAAAACAAAGACTATCTACCGAATGATTCCACTTAAAGTTCAAGAGCTAGAATTATTAATTCTTGGAGACAGAAGTCAAATCAGTGGTTACCTCTCCGAAGAAAAAAGAGTACACTGCCTGGAAAGAGGCTCAAGGGACCCTCCAAGGGGCTGCTATTGTTTTATTTCTTGGCCTGGGTTCTAGTTACATGACTGAGTGTATATGTAAAACTTCACTGAGTTATGTACTTTTGACTTGGGCACTTTCGCATATGTAAGCCAGACCTCAATAAAAACATACAGCAACTGAAGCTAGGGAAGAAGGAGAGGAGAATAAACACAGACAGAAAAATGTATCTACTCAGCAGCAATTACACAGAGAGGAATACTTTGAGTGAGGAGCACAGCTCCACGTTAATTCAAGCTTTCTTGACCTCTGTCATCAAGCACTCAAATCATGTCCTCCTGGTCCTATTCTAGTCTCTCAATAATCCACATGCTGTGGGAAGAATCTTCTACCTTCTTTAGGTAGCACAATTATTATGCTACTCCCTTGTTCAAACAACTCTCCACCTTTCTCCCCTACCTATAAATTAGATCCTTACAGCCTGAATTTATGGCCCTTCAGGCTCTGATCCCCAAACAGTTTCTGTTTTATTTCCCAAGCCTAACCTACACTCCCTACCAAACAGCCTACCAAGTTTTATCCCAAGGCTTCCTCAGGTTTCCAATTCTGCACTGTCCTCTTATATGAAGTGACCTACTCCATTCATCTCTTCCTTCTGAAATATAGATCATCCTATAAGTACCAGCTCAGACATTATCTCCTTCAGGAAGTTTTCCTTAATTCTTCACCCAAGCAGAAGTTCTCCCCGCTCCCTCACTGACACCTCCAGAGCATGTGGAATGTGCCTCTTATCACCTTCACTATTCTGCTGCGTGTTGCAGTTATCTGGATGTATTTCTTCTCCTTTCTGCCTCATCAATAATGTGGGCATCACCTACGTATCATGCCGGCTAGACACTTGATTAAATATTGTTGTGATAAACGAGCAAGGGAAAGAAAAAAACAGAAAGAAGAGATCAGACAGCTCAGAGAAAGAAATTTCCAATTTCACTTATGAGTTTGCTTCCCAAGTTGATATTTTTCCTCCACAAGAATATCCAGTATCCTTCTGATATGTTGTGATGCACTTATTTCAATAAGTCATCCAAACCCATTTTTGGAAGAGGACAGGTATAAGTTTATATCCTATCAGCCTACGAGTCCCCTCTCCCTGGCTCTCGCACCCACTCCTTACCTCCACCTCCCACAGGGCTTTTGAACTTGTGGCAGATGTGGCCGACTGCCGGCCTGTAGTTCTCAGGAAGACATGTTGCTTTTTCCTGTGCTCATCACAAGTGAGAAATTTCTCCTGCTCAGCATGGAACAGCCTTACCACATCACCCTAAAAGTCAATGCAAAAAGGAATGAAAGGAAAATGAACTTAAAAAGAGAACTAAGTCACCGTCCTAAGAAGAGCCAAGTAATACCCAGTCCATCAAGGTATCAACCTTACCCCCTTTAGTATGTCATCTTTGTTATCACTCCATTTCATGAAAAGAACTATTTTCCAGCTTGTATTGCAGTTAACGGAATTGACCTGGAAAACAAATCAATTATTTTTTCACACAACCCTCACAACAACTGTGCCATCCAGCCCAAAATGCCTCATTGCAGCCCAAGAAGCAAGGCTGTGTTTCAGACTAAAAATTTCTAAAGATTGACACCATTAAGATCACAGAACCTGCAGATTCAATTGGCCTGATGGAAGTATTTGGCAATAAATGGTTCATTTGCACTAATCACTATGTTTGCTCCAACTATGACTAATAGAACCAATGCCTTCCTGCCCTTCTGGAACAATATTTTCCTTTTCCTCCAAGTCTCTTGTTCTGTAGCCAGAAAGTGAAGGTCTAATGAAAACAAGTACTTATAAGATGAAATGAGTTACAATGGCAAAAAACGAGGCCAGTGTATACATTCGAAAATGTTAATGATAATTGCTAGCAGCAGCAGCCACTGTCTGTGCCCTAAGTCTATGCCAGGCACCACACTAAATACTAACATTCATGATCTCAATTAATCCTTGGCAACATCCTAAAAAATAGGTTTAATCATAATCCTCTGTTTCTGAGATAGGGAAACTGATGCCCAGAGTGACGGGGTAACTAACCTACAGTCACAGAGCTAGGAGTGGCAGACTCGGGATCTAAATCCACATCTGTCCCACTCTAGAGTTTGTGTCCATCAGGCAAATAGTTATGTCACAAGCAAGTTACTGTCCTTGTATTCTATAATAGCCAATTAGAGGCTAAGCAGATGAACTGCCAAAAGAAAGCAATCACCCTAGCAAGGCTGCTAATATTCTGTAGTGTTCCTTTCTTAGCAATTAGAAAAAATAATCCTGTTTAGGAAGACAAGTTGGAAAAAGATATCCCTCAGGCCATAAAAAAAATTGGTAAAAGGGACCCTTCTGGATTAACAAATTAGAAAACTATCCCCCAGTGATGAGAGACTTAGCAAACTGAGTACTCAGGTGAACGTCAGCTCCTATCCACCACCCACTGCCCAGACTTATACAGCCTTATGAGGCAGCCCTGACTTTTGTTCTCAGTTTCCACACCTGCAGAACAGGCACATCGCCCCAAGTCACTGCTGAAGGCACTTTCAGCACACACATGCACAACCCCCAGAAAGACCTGCTCCTGCAGCATAATCTCACCCACAAACCAAAACTCCATTTCCTTACCTCGTTGCAGCCTGGATTATCCACCAGCTGATGGCTGCTGGCGTGTAGGGGCTGACCAGCATTGACGGGGTTCAGAACAACTTTGTCACCTATGACCACCTAGAAAGGAAAGATGCAATATACAATAGGGTTTTTCACAAAACTGATCAGGACTTCAGACTGACCAATGGGTAGTTCCAGGAGGAACCACAGTTCAGTACACAAACTGTACCGAAAAGGCCCAGCCCTAACAAGTAGAACGATACAGCACACACTGCACATATTTTAAGGCCTGACCCTGCACAAGGGAGGTTTTGGGGGCAGAGAGGGAGGTCTCATATTTACAAAGCTAAAGCTGAATTTTGTTCCACAACTGTCAATGGTTATACAGAGATGTTTTAAAGTCAGAAGAAAAAAAAATGTTATCTCTGTTACATTCAGTTGAGCTACTGGTTTAAATAAGCTCTAAATAAATTTTAGAAAAACCAGGATATTGTCTGAGTTAAGTCTCTAACTTTGAAACAATAAAGCCACAATTTAAGGCTTCTAAAGCAATGACTTTCATATTTACTACAACTCACATTAAGAAATACATTTTCTAGGCTGGGAGTAGAGGCTCATGCATAGAATCACGGCACACTGGGAGACCAAGGTGGGAGGATTGCTTGAGCCTAGGAGTTCAAGACCAGCCTGGGCAACAGAGTGAAACTTCATCTTCACAAAAAGTCAAAAAAATTAGCCAGGCGTGGTGACATGTGCCTACAGTCCCAGTTGTTACTCAGGATGCTGAGGTGGAAGGATCTCCTGAGCCCAGGAGGTCGAGGCTGCCATGAGCCATGATTGTTGTGATCATGCCACTGTACTCCAGCCTGGGTGACAGAATGAGAACTGACTCAAAGAAAAATAAGTAAATTTTCTACTATGACCAAGTCATATGTATAGCCATATAGATGTGTGTGAGTGTGTGTAACTGAAACAAAAGTTACAGTCCCAAAGCAAGACTTGGCCTGATCACATGTAACACAGCCTGATAATTTCTATTCTATTCCTTTTGAAATGATTATAGTCACAAGGCACAAAGTTGATTTTGTGGCCCATAAACAGTTCAACACTGATAGCTTGAAAAACACGATTCCAAAAGGGTAACTCTTCAAGTCCATCTTCTCAACTAAGTCATGGCCAAACACATTTGTTCATAGGATAGAAAGCAAAAGATGTGCCAAAAATGAAATGCAGAACAAGACACACTCTTTTTTATTATGGGATTGGAAGGAGGGGAGTGAAGAAGACAATGTCCTAGGATGTAAAATCCACTTATTTTCAGTTGAATACATTTGGGGAGCATATTTTCTCTAACTCAAAATGTATATGAGTCCTTTCAGTACATCCAAAACTTCTGGTGAAATCTAAGCTTTACTGGATTTTTCTTTCAATTCTCATTGCAGGAACAACAGTTATGGTACACCAACTATGAGGGAATGGTCTGGTACTAGATGCTTCTGGCATATAATATACAATATAATACATACACAAGCGCAGAAACATACTTAAACTGCCCAAAGTTTTTAAACTTACAAGGCATTACTTAAAAATGTCAAAACTCAGGGTAAGTCTGATTAAGCATTTTGAGAAGATTTCATGCTGTGTGAGGCACATATTTTTTTTTAAATAAAAAGTAATTACTTTAGAATCTTAACCAGATAACAAATATAGCTGATAACATTTAAACATATTCATTGTTAAGTATATGCTCTGGTAATGGCTGACTAATTTAGCTAACAAAAGTCACCATGGAAAGGATTGCCCCGTGGCTTTACATCCTAAAGAACCCTCACAGGAGCGACCCCTGCTTGGGACTAGTTACAGCTGCTGAGTGAGATGAAGAGGCTGCCTGCTTATCAACACAGGAGCAAATGAAGCTAATCCCAAAATCTGCTCACCTTCCCTGTAGCTATTTCTTTTCCATCCTTCATCCATTACTCACTTTATTTCCAAAACAGAAAAAAATTTCTATTCCACTAATGGTTCTGGAAGAACAGGATTCCTCTCCAGAACATTCACATGAGATAACTGTTTTCGTGGTAAGGTTACCAATGTGATGAGCTGTTCATCTAGCTTTTTCAGAAGTCCAGCAGGAAAAACATAGTGACTGTATTTAGGTCACACTTCTCTCCACATTCCCCTGTTTGCCAAACACTAGTTTCCATAGCAATTTCTTTCTCTTCATACAGGATATGCTTCTGGTTCCAACTTTAAACTTCTAGTTGACTCTAACATACAGTCATGATTCAAGGCATGGCATGGAACACTAATTCTAAGCTGAGAATTTGTACTTACACTGTCTCCGATAGATCGCAACTTGTAGAATGGCTGGATATAGAACCAGGACCCTTCATTCCCAGCCTCGTCCAGTGTCACTCTCATGGCATTCTTCTCCAGCAGAGCTGGAAGCCTCTTATTCACAGTTAGATATTTATTACTTTTCAAGTGCAGGAGCTGAAAACCCACCAAAAGAAAAGAGGGAGTGTCAGCAAATCTCTGAATTTTCTACCATTTCTCTCTCAGTCATATAAACTATGCATCAAGTGTTCTTCCCATGAATGAGCTGTTTGTGAAGTTAGGAGACCACAAAGCATCTAAGACTGGGAATGATGAAAATGAAGAAAGAATAAAGGGAGCAGAAGCGAAGGGCAGAACAGAAGAAAAATATTTTTCTTCAACATAACTGTGGACAAGAAGGATGTTACCATGGCCAACTGTATCATCATCTGCCACCTGCTAATGGGAAGGGCTTAGCCCTATGTTACGGGCTAAGGAACTGCCGTTTGATATGCCCCAACACAAACTTGGAGCTAAGGAAGGCAATTTTGAACACAAGAAACAATTTGTTTAAAAGGCAACCCCACTGGGGGACTGGCATTTCATTAAGAAGAATACGGCTTGGAATCTCCAAGCACTTTTATTCTCTATTCCTGGGTAATGGTCACATAAAGGGGATGGAAAGACTGAGGATCTAGATGAGAAACAACATGTCTGATAGTCAGTATCAACCAGGAAGAGCTGGTCAAGGTGTCCCAACTCAATAGGCTATAAGAGAAAAGGGAAGGGCATATGAAAGACACCCAAACCCTGGAGAAATGGAAAGACTGGCATGGAACTTCACAGTTAACTGCCAATGTCCCCCATTTCACATATTAACAGACACAGTTACAAAAACAGTCCTAAGAGGTCTTTAAATCTTCTAACAGTGTTGTTGGAGGTGGAGGAGTAACCTGTCTGACCTATAAGCCCCTGACATCCCCTGGCTAAGAAAAACAAGGGGAAGGCTATGTTGTCCCAAGTCTTCACTGTTCCCTTGGTGAGTGGCCCCTGGTGAGTGGCCCCTGGCCCTGCAAGCAAGTTAGTTTATAAACCAAAGTTAGCTATAGGTAGATCCAAAGATCTAGGCTGAGAGGAAGTAATAGCAGCTGAGTTATTATGTATCCACAGCTTATTCTGGGACAGACGCCCCTCAACCATCCTAGAAAGCAGATGCATTACTATTTCCATTTTGCTGGTGAGCAAACTGAGACACGAGAAGATTTCTTGCTGAAAATCTCACAGTAAGTCACAAAACCCTACATAAAGGGCATTTAAGAGGTTATGTCCCTAACCTCTATGCACCTTTCATTTTCATCACAAGCATATTGTCCAATCTAACCAAATCAGGGCATCCTATAGTCTGAGTCTCAGGGTGCTGGCCTGGCCCTGTAGTAGAGCTGATATTAAACCTGGAGCTCTCCTGAACTCTTGCAAACATTCTCAAGTGGATGGAACTTGAGGGAGAGGTGAAGTGGGACTGGCTAGACCTAATCTTCAAGCAGATTTTGGAAGCTACTTTCACTATTTCGAAAGGCCTAATGTAAACAACCCATTTAACCCCTCCAAAATTGCTTTTACCAATTTTTTTTTACTAGCTTTTCCATCCTCCTGATTAGCACTGTTCTATACCTAACGGCAATAGAAATGGGAAAAAATTCCTTTGTAATGTTTACACAGTACACAAAATATTTCAAAAAGAGAAATAATAGCAAGATAACCAAATGGGTTCAGGTACTCAAAAGTTGGTAAGCACAACCCTTTATGCCTGGGTCAAAATGATCTGGTAGCTGGACAAATAGAGACAATCACATTTGGCACTAAGCTTCCTCAAACACACAGTTTCTGCAAGACCTGGTTAGACCCAGGATCTCGTGAGCAAAATCTGTAGTAACTATTTCCTGGATTGTATTTTATCCCCATCCCAAATTTAAGGCACAAAAGATTAGTAAGCCTTGTATCTCATGAGACATGAGAATAACCCATATTTTTGATAAATACAAAAAACTAAAATGATAACTTTTTAATGAAAACATTCTGAAGATCGAGAACTGCTCTTATTACCACTGGTTGAGTAGCTCTTGATCAATAGATTAAAGTTACAAGGAAGCAATTGTCACTAAACAGGAAGAACTTTCAAGCAATGCCAAGTTAGGTAAGAAGCTTCCCATTTGAAATATCTGGACATATGTTAAAACATCAGCTACAGAGGGAGAGAAGTAGATGCTCACACTGAGAGACGACCAACTAAAGAGCCCAAGAGTCCATCACATATAACAAAAAACACTAGAATGTTTGCAATAAACTGGAGTCCCACTGTGAGGTATCCAAACCCTATCTCCTGTGTTTGTCTTCTCAGTTTCATTCTTTACAACACTTCAGCTCCAGAAGAGAAGAGCCACCTTGACCTACCTGGATCACATTGCCATACTGGATTACAGTGCCCAGCAACTTTCTGTTTTCTGTTTCATTCTGCTTCTTTTCCAAGTCTGCAGCATGCTGTACATTGAGAAGAAAGACTGGTCATAAAGGGAAAACAATGGGTTATATTATTCTGCAGCTATGCAAAACAAATGCAGCCAGTTAATATAAGAACCACAGAAATGAGCAAATCCTTATGTATACCCTGAGGCTAAGTGTAATGAGCCAGGGAGTTCAAAAAGCCAGTCTACTCTGCCTTTGCTTTGTTGGCTTTTTGGCCTCTTTAAAATGTTTGAGATTTTTTTTCCCTGTAAGGAACTCATGGACACTTGCTTAGGGAGAGGCAAGTCTAAAGTTTAAATTTTTTTGAGAAAATCGGGTAGGGACAGAGGGGAGAGGGATCTGCATAGCTCTTTTGTGATTTTAAAAGTACTCTTTAAGGCTTTGGGGTAAAATAAAACTGAATTTAAGTGCTGGTTTGGGGTCGTTTATCATTTTGTGACCTTGAGTGTTTTATTTCATATCAGTGAGCCTCAGTTTCCTCTTATGTAAAATGAGGATAATAATGGTATCTACTAGGAATCACATTGCATAGTACCTGACCAATGTAGTACACATGGAATATTAGCTACTATTGTTAGACTTTAATAATAATTTAATAAATTTACATGACATTTCCTTGAGGGGAAGACTATTATCCCACTTTTAAAGAAGAAATTGGCTCAAAGGATTAAAAATTTTGGTCACCACTGCATAGCTATTTGGATGATGGGTATAAAAGGCGTTTGTGATCCCATTTCTCTACTTCTTTTTGGGGGGTGAGGGAGGCATAGAGACAAGGTCTCACTATGTTGCCTAGGCTGCCTTGAACTCCTGAGCTCAAGCAATCCTCCAGCCTCGGCCTCCCAAAGTATTGGGATTATCAGCGTGAGCCACCCTGGCTGGCCAACTCCTGTGTGCTTTTGAAATTTTGCTTAAAAATTATTTTACTCACACATTCATTAAGTCGCAGAGATAGTCCTCAAATCCACATGTGGATTAACTCCAAATTTACATAATTACCAATGAGATAATGCCAGTCCAAATTTGGCATGCTAGGGAATATGATAAAGCTGGATAGAGGGTTTTAGAATAGCCTGCCAGGGCCACCACCCTGAACAGTCATTTTCTTTCATCCATCTGTAACACTCTGAAAGTACTGTTATCATATTCCAATCATGCTAAAGGGGAACTAAGTTCATCCCAGGCAATCAGCAAACTGTTGTTCTAATTCCTGTCTCCCAAACCTAGACTGGGTGAAGGAGAAATAAAATATCAGGGAAGAAATTCAGTGTTGAACCGGAAGGATGATAAAACTCTGATGACCAACAGTATACTTCAGAAGTGCTTCCAATGCTTTCTTCCTAGAGTTTCCCACTTCCTTGAGGCAAGATGCTGCTAGATATCAATGAGACCTCTTAATTTCACAGGTCGTTCTGGACATGGTCTACACACCAGCTTTATCATTTTATCCACATCACTTAATTTCACCAAGCCTTAGTCTTCTTACCACAAAATGGAAAGAATGCAAGCCTTTTAGGGCTATTGTAAAGATTAGAGAAAATGTGTGCCAGATATATAATAGCCATTTAGTAACAAATTTTAGCCATTATTATTATACACAAATTTCTAAAACCAAGAAATGTTCTGATGATGAAAATTTCAAAAGGGACCTAAGTTGGCTAGGTCATGAATTTGTTTCCTTCAAATTTACCATCTGTTCCACCTCTACTTTAGAGGATGGATACATTTCTGAGAAAGAAAAACTACAGAAAGCAATCCTAAAACAAAACAAAGCCACATTACAGGAAAGGAATGGTCTGTATTCATCAGTATGGATCACTACAAGTTGACTATATCTGTATCAACTCTTTAATACAATGGTCCATTCAGAGCTTCCCTTGCTCTCTTTTGGAATTAGTGACCAGTCTGCTATTCTCAGTTACACAAGGAGAAAATCCACTGAGTTCAAGACACATTCAGAAATAATACCAGTGCTGACAACGAGGCAATTCTTAGCATCCAAGCTGCCCTCAGCAGGGTCTTCCTGAACCTTCTCTTTCCCCTGCATAAACATTCATCTCAATGGCCTACCACCTCTTGTTCTTTCTCTTTCTATGACAGAGCTTCACACCCCTCTGGAGATCTCTACAGTACCCACAGGTTCGTTTTCCAAACAAAACATTGGATTGAATCCATTTGGAATACAGGTTTATACTCTGTGGAGAGTCATTTGTTCTTTCTGCTAAGCAGTTCTCAGCTAACACTGAAACTGGAAACTCAAGAGAGAGAAATTGTCAAAGGGAGAAAAATCAAAAATTCAGTAAAATAAAACATAACATTTCCAACATGCAAATATAGTTTTTCTCTGTTCAAAACATCACAATGAAAGGATTCACCTTTAGAGAATTTTTAAATAGTATTTCTTGGAGTCCAGTGAGATATAAGCTCCTCTTTAAGAGGCAAAATTCTCACGGACATTCCCCCTTACGCTCAGGAATTTCCAAGGACCTCAGTTTAAGAAACTCTAATCTAAAAGATTAATGTCCTACCTATACTTAGACTAAGTACAGTATAAAGGCAGCAACCCAAGTGGTCACTGGCATATCGAGAAAGAAATGTCAAATTAATCATCAAGAAGGTATATATCCCATATTAAAGCCTAACCTAAACACCTGCAGCTCTAAAGGGCAAGGGTATTTGTTTAAAGACATCTAAAGGTAAAAGTAGAACAGAAAATTAAAATCGGAGAATATTTAAAAGCTTCTCTTTAAATAAAAATGTAATCAATTATTACTTCTAAAACTTTGCTAAAACTCTGTTAAACTAAGAGTTATAATTAGTAAAAAAGCTGAATGATGACTGAGGCTTCACATCACTACTAAATAAGCATTACATGCATTAAGCTTATGGACCATTTTATAAATTCATTTTTTCCATAAGTCCTCTTTGTTTAAGAAGAAAACTCTCTAATTCATTTCACCTTTCACTAACTACATAAATATCAAATCACACATCAGTTCTTAGATAACATCCTCACAAAATCAAGTCAGATTTTTAGACAAAATAGCCATCATGATTTTTAGGTTCAAACAGGCAAGGCGCTAAGATATACAACAAAGTAGCAATGTACAAACACTATTAGGGCCCACTGATCAAGCTGTTTCTACCTATGAAAAGAATGAAATCTGGTTTGTTAAATCTCTCAAGTATATTCCAAGAATGGGGCCACAGAGTAATTCAGTGAGTTGGCACAACCTTTCTAAAGGCTGATCTGGCAATATTGACCAAAAAGCTTTTTACTAGGCATAATTTTGATTTAGCAATTCCACTTCTAGGAGTTTCTTCTAAGCAGACAACCTGGCTTGTGCACAAGGCCGTACAACTTTTTTCAGAATGGCAAAAGATGTCAGGATCCTGAATACTGCTCCCTAGCCATCCTCTTTACCAACCCATAGCTAAAACTATAGTGATGCCATACAATGGAGTAACCATGTAGCTATTAAAAATGAAGACAGAGATTCCTATTTATTCATGACACATTAAGTTTTGAAAAAGCAGGTTAAATAAAGAGAAGACAGCATGCTCCATCTGATAGTTTAAAACACAGACATGGAAATAAAATAGGGGGGTGAGAAAATGGGAAACACACCAAAATAAAAACCAAAGTTATCTTTGAGGAATAAAATTTAGAGAACAAGTAAACTAATTTTTTTCCTACTCATACATATTTTGGAATTCTTTTCCTACCATACTCATATGTGTAATTTCTCCAGAAACATCTTCATATGTCTCTGTGGCAAGTAATCTGAATTATTTTAAAAACCATCTTAAATTTGCTACCTTTTCATTATTTTAAAATCCTGATCATTTAAGCACCTGTTACTCCCTTCTCTTGCACAATAGGTTGAGGAATGCTTTTAATTTTTAAGGGAAAAAAAATCACATGCAATGCTATGGTTTCTACCTTTATTAATCACCATATTCCCTAAGCCCCATCAAGGTCAACCCCACAGTCACCTGTTATTTTATTTCAGAAAGAGAGACACAATTATTAAATTACTACAGAAATGTTACTGGAACAGTGAGTAAAGGTTATTTATTTAAGGTCAACAAGCTCTGAATTACGTAATATGATATTGAATTGAGGCTTCTGAAAACAAACAATACTGGACCCAGGCTTTAAAAGGTAATAAGGACTTGTCGGTCACTCCTTTGGCTCTTTCTATCTTGTCAAAGTTGTGTCTTAATTTAAATGTTCTTAGAACTAAAACAATGTAGGTGTCTGTTTCAAGGTAAACTGCTGTCAGAAAACGGCAGTAAAGGCCTTTAGAACACATTATGTGATTTGCAGGTTGGGGGAAGTTCTTTTTGTCAAAAGACTTCGGAAACCATGATCAAGAGTGTCAAAAATCCAGTTACTCCACACACAGGGACCAGCCACTAGATGTCATTCTCCTTCAAAGTGCTATTTTTGTTGCTCATCCTAGTCAAAGGAAGTCAAGTGATCTAGACAACTAATTCCTTAAATGGCATTAATTTAAAATAATCTGACCTTTGATTGGGGTGCTGCACAGTAGTTGATAAAAATAAAAATGAAAACCCACTGGAGACTGGTCACCAGCCCCCAAAGGCAAGTGGCTGCCCAAAATACATTTTAATGATTGCACTGTAACATGTAGATGACTTTCAGACACTAGAGGAAAAAGTTCCAAGTAAGCAGAAAAGTAGGAACTGCACAAACTGAAGCACAAAGTCAACATTCAAGTCCTGAAAGTCATATCAGTAATCTTAAATTGGGGAAAAGAACTGGTTTCCTTTTACAGTTTGGTAAAAGCACAAAGCGCATGAAAAAGATAATTCTCCCTCTCTCTCTCTCCCTTTTTAAATAAGGATTTGGGAGTTCTTGATCAGCTTTAGAACTGAACTTTTTTCAACTGTGCTTTTTTTTCACAGTTCATTCGCAGGAAGGAGCATCAAAAGGAATTGCTGATGAAACATAACATACAGATCACAGGTTGCAAATGGAGCTAAAGAAC